TCACGTTTTATTCCAGTTCTTCCCATTCTCCCTTTTGTTTCATTCGTTTGTTTTTCACCAACTGGACTAAATGAAGACCCAGGAAGCCTCCCTGTTTTTTCATTCCTGTGGCCTCTACAGTTATAAATGGCCTCTACCCAGGTTATTTCCCAAGCAGACCTGTGGGATCTCTGTCCTGAGTAAAAGAACCCAGGCCCATCTCTGTATTGTTTTTACGATTTTAAAAATACATAAAATTACAAAATATAACCACCCAGCTTTCTCCCTTGGGATAAGGCAACTCTGGATTTAGTACCTATTCTCTGTTCAACTGCCGCATTCAGTGTGCAGAAACTGTCAATAGATCACAGCGGAGCTCATGAACTCCTTGTGCAGCCTCCCATCCCCCATCAAGGTGGCAGAGAAGTGTGGAAGACCCCGCCCTGGGAACCCAGGCCTTTGGTGCTTGCCTAGAGCTCTCCATGGTCCTGTAAGTGCCGCTGTGCACAGTGCAGATTCCAGAATCTGGCTTTCTCATTGCCCATTTTCTCCTGTTCTATTTATAACATCTTAGCTTCCCTTTCCTCACAATCTACACTCCATGGCCCATCTCTGTTTTAAAATTTAAAAAATACATAAAACGACAAAGTATAACATAACTACCCAGCCTAAATATTTGAAAAAGATTTGATATATTTGCAGATATTAATAAGGAAAATACCTTAATAAAAGGTAATTTAGAGTAAAATAACAAAAAACCTTGGAGAACATCTAGCGAGTAACCCACAAGATTAGAATGTCAACAAAGACATGTTCTAGTTTTCTATCTCCTCTACATCTGCTGGCAAATCCCCTTTCTCATTTCTGATACAACACATTTGAAATCCTCAAAATAGATTTTTTTTTTTTAAAGCAAAGACATAGTCCCAATTGCTAATATAGAAAATAACCTTGTATAAAAAGAAAAGGCTTAAAATGGTAATCTAAAAAAAAAAAAAAAGGCATTCCTGTTAAAATGACATGAGAATCCTGACAATCACCTCTATTATCAAAACTGTTCTTAAATTTCTTAATTTAAACAAACAAAAACAAAATAGCTTCAATGATGCCCTGACCAGTGTGGATCAGTTGGTTGGGCATCATCCAATGCACCAAAAGGTTATGGGTTTGATTCCACCATCATGGCACATGCCCAGGTTATCAGCCAATCCCAATTAGGGGGGCATGGAAGAGGCAGCCAATCAATGTTTCACTGTCACATCGATGTTTCTCTCTCTTCTTTAAAAATCAAAAATATTTATAAAAAGATGTTTTCAAATGATATGACTGCAAAGCTGGGGAACATAAGAATAACAATAACAACAAAAAAACTGAGAGCTTATCAAGTAATTTCAGAAGCATGGCTAGATATGACAAATTAAAACTTTAATAGCTTATTAATTTATCCAAAAACTAGGATAAGTCAAAGCTATTGAAGTCTGTTAATTTATCCTTAGTTATAAAAAACATTAAGGGATACATTCTTATTCACAATAAGCAAAATATCAATTATCTAAAAATAACTTTAACAGAAATGCATAGAATTTATAGGAAGAATGATATATGGCCCTATTGATGTAGATAAGAATACTGATGTTATGAGATGCTAATGTATGTGGGAAGTTTTCAGGGCTAAAAATGTTATTGTCTGAACTTCTAGAGTGAAGAAATGTCAATAAAGACTAACAAAATCGATGGGACTTTTGACAGTAATTTTATTAATCTCCTTAATTAGTATAATTAACAGAAAGACTGAAGATTTCCTAAGCTGTAAGGAAATGAAGGACAGAGCAAGATAGAACAGGATTTGTTTCCATGTTAATCATCCATCCAATGTGTGCTGGGAAAGCAGAAATTCTGCATCAGATCTTGAGTTAAGCCAACTTTCTGCACACGTGGACCATTCCAATCGAACAGCAGAATTTAGAAGTAACCCTCACCGGGAGTTTCTCTGGCTCTGGACACATCTTCTGCCCAGGTGTGCCTTCCAAAACACAGGGACCTGAATCCATCAAGAGTGGCTCAACTGTTTGAGTTTTCCTGAGATACCAAATATTCATTGCTTTATGGTTTCAAGTAATTATTTGGTCTGAAAAGGAGCCAAAGTTCATTTAATAATAAAATTTCCCTGCAAAAAAAATCTGATTTTAGTGAAATGAAGCACAGCTGCATGAGGAAGATTTCTGTGTAATTCTAAACCCCTAAGAGACTCCAAAAGCCCACGGAGAACAGAGTTTCTACATGAAAATTCATGAGGGAGCGATGCCCTACTTGGTAGGTGAGCCAGGAGAAGGGTGGGAGAGCTGACGGGGCTTTAGGGGTCTGGGCTAGGGGGCAGCAGTGAGTAAGCTGACAAGACACCACTTCAGGTGTGTTTGGAGGACTCCTGAACCTAGCACTGTCAGCAGATCATAAGTGAACAGTCTCTCCTTTTCCATTTCTCTTTTGGTTTTCACCTCTGCAAATGTGGCAGCAACTGAGGCAACACTGCCCCACGGGACAAGGGAGAGGATCTTTACCAAGAGTTCATTAGATTTTCACAGAGATTGAACAACTTTCTAGTTGGAGATTTCTTTCAAATACCTGGCCCAGTAGTACATTTAAAATCCTACCTAATAAAAGAATATGCAAATTAACCATCACTCAGCTACAGCCACCAGCCACTCAGAGTGAGTATGCAAATAAACTCAACCAAGATGGCTATAGCCACAGAGAGGAGGGAAGCTTGGGTTTCCCAGGCAATGGAAGAAGCCAAGCTTCTGCCTGTCCTGGCCGGCCCAGGCCTCCACTCAAGGCTACAAAGTCTCAATTATAGAAGATACATAAACGCCAAAAGAAATGGCTGCTGGCCACAAAGCTAGCAGGAGGCTTGGCTCTGTGCCAGGCTACAAAGTTTCAATTGTAAAAGGTAAATAAATCCCAATACCAAACCTCCGCTTGGGTCTCTGGGGGGTATGGCTAGCCTGCAAACCACCATAGGCCCCTTGCTCAGGCTGCCCCATGCCCGAAGGGAACCCTAACCTTGATGTGGGACACCCTTCAGGGCAAACGAGCTGGCTCCCACCTGTGCACAAGGCCTCTATCCTATCTAATAAAAGAGTAATATGCAGATTGACCATCACTCCAATACACAATATGGCTGCCCCCATGTGGTCAAAGATCCAAACCAGGCCTGCAAGGGAGGGTAGCTGGAGGTGATCAACCCTGCAGGGGAGGGCAGGTAGGGGTGGCCAGGCCAGAAGAGAAGGGAAGTTGGGGCAAACAGGCTGGCAGGGAAGCAGTTGGACATCAATTAGGCTGGCATGGGAGTGGTTAGGGGGTGATCAGGCTGGCAGGCAGAAATGGTTAGGAGCAATCAGGAAGGCAGGCAGGCGAGCAGTTGGGAGCCAGCAGTCCTGGATTGTGAGAGGGATGTTCGACTGCCTGTTTAGGCCCGATCCCAGACATCCCTCAAGGGTCCCAGATTGGAGAGGGTGCAGGCTGGACTGAGGGACACCCCCCCCCCCCGTGCTCTAATTTCGTGCACTGGGCCATATATATATATATATATATATATATATATATATATATATATATATTTTTTTTTTTTTTTTTTTAATTGATTTCAGAGAGTAAGGGAGAGGCAGAGGAAGAGAGAAACATCAATGATGAGAGAATCATTGACAGGCTGCCTCTTACACATCTCACACTGGGGATCAAGCTCCTAACCTGGCATATACCCTGACTGGGAACTGAACTGTAACCTACTGGTTCATAGGTCTATGCTCAAACACTGAGCCATGCCAGCTGGCAAGTAGTGCATTTTCTTTTACTGCCATTTATGAACCTTCAAATGCATCTTAAGCAAGAAATTCTGCTTCAAGGTGTCATTTTGCAATGCTGAAATGCACTTTTAAAAAAGTGCCTTCAAAATTTCTAGTTCTAGGCCTGGCCAGTGTGGCTCAGTTGGTTGAGTGTGGCTCCATGCATCAAAAGATCACTGGTTTGAGCCCATCAGTGCACATGCCCTGGTTGTGGGCTTGATCCCAGGTCAGGGTATGTGTAGGAGGCAGGTGATCAGTTTCTCCCTACATCAATTATTTTCTGACTTTTTTTTTTTTTACATCAATGTTTTTCTATCTCCCTCTCAAAAAAAAAAAAAAAATCTAGATCTATCTGGAACTTAGGGGGAAAAAAAGAAAAAAAGAAAGAAAAGAGAAAGCACCTCAGACCAGGGAATAATGCTGGTTTACGGCAAGTGACCCGAGACTGGGATGTGCAGGAGGTCCAACTGCCCTGCTGCACCTGCCTACTCCCAAGTCCCTCTGTGGGGGAGAGAGGAGCATGCTCCTTATAAATATCCCAGCATCATGCCCTGCCAGCGCAGTCATCTGATGGGCCAGGCTGGAGCAGCAGCAGGTGCCTTTTGTCCAGGCCTCAGCTGGGCCTCAGACATCTCCTTTCTCCATCCCCAAGTTCTCTGCCTGCACAGAACCCAATAGGGAGAGGCCATGCATCTCCCTGAGTCCCTGTCTATACTGTGGGTACCCAGCAGACAGATCATGCCTCTATGGGTAGAAGGCACAACATTGCCTTTGATCTTGTCAGAACTGTTCTATGGGATTGTACAAGGGCTAATGAAAGGTTTTGGTCCATAAAGGTCTTCAAAGACGGTATGTACATTCTGGTCTTGTGCACATTCAGCTAGACATAACGAAAAGTCCAAAATCAGAGAAATGGTCAGCAGCCATTACTCAGAGCACCAGAGCCCTACCCTGGTATACTTCAAGTAGAATACTTCAAGCTGCATTTCAGTTTGACTGGTAAGGTAGCTCTTTTTTTTTTTTTTTTTTTTTTTTTTTACTAGGAAAACAATTCCTAGGGCAAATCTTGAAAAAGATGAAGTAGCAGGAAAACGACAGAGAAATAATTCATTTATATAATCCCTAGAGAACATTATTTTAAAAAGCATCAAGTTGAAGATAATTACACTGACAATGGACTTAAATCAAAAATGGAATTAGAGTTTTCCTGGATTTTGGATAATCTTCAAATTTCTCAAGGTACCACCTACAATAAAAAAAAAGACATTAAAAAAAGAAATAATTTTGTCACTTAAAAATATAATACATGCTAGCAAAAGGAACAATATTTTTTTTATCACTAAGGCATAAAATTTTTAATAGTAATAAAAACTTTGGCATTTCAGATACATAGGTTGATTTTATCTATATTATGAACAATTAGATATATGTGATTATAAAGTATGATTCAAAAGAAGTGACTCACATAACCCCTCCTTATATTGGCAAGAAAAAACCCTGATTTGTGATAAAGGTGCTGATTAGAATACGGAGGAGACATCTTTCCAGGCCTAGGAAGTGTGCAGACTGGGGGAGAGGAGAGGAATCCAGTAGTTATATCTTAATTATTTTCTGGTGATTGGTAGTTTTTTCCAATTCCTAGGAGAAAACTACTGCTTCATACCCAGAGTCTGGTATGAAGGGGCACCCAAGCTGGCAACTCTGAAACAGACCTGGGAAAATACAACATGGGCTCATTCATCATTGGGCCCTGCATTCTGAACAAACAGGTCTTTTCCATTCTGATATAAATTATATCAACAAAGACACCTTCCTTCATGTTAGGGTAACAGCTAGTTGAGAAGGATAGAAACTAAGTAGACAGAATAAAAATTTTAAATAATTTGACACGATGAAGAATAGAAAAATGGAGTTTCCATGAGCTCAAAAGAATTCTAAACAGATTAAAACTTATGATGGAAAACAATTAGTTATTTGTTAACATGACAGCAACATATGACAACAGCAAACAAAGTGAGTGAGTGAAGTCCTATGAAATTTAGGTTTTGGTGAGGTTTAGCACTGTAAACCACAAACAGAGAATTATGGAAGAACACCAGGTTTAATTTCAGATGCTGTTCTGTACATCCAAAAGGACATGTAATGAGCAAAGTCCCGAGGAGTTGGGCAGTAGACCCTGTGGATCAAGTGTAGCAACAACAGCCTTTTCCAGCTCAGTGATGTGCTGCAGACAAGAATGTTTATGGCAGATATGGCCACACACAACAGCAGTGCAAAGAGTGCACAAGTGCATTATACATATATTTACTCATTAATCATTAACATTTTTATAGGCCTATGCAACTGTCTGAATGTGTACCCAAAATTCATATGTTAAAAACCTAAGGTGATGGTATTAGGAGATGAAGATTTTGGGAAGTGAGGCTGGAGGCACATGGTGGGAATAGTGTCCTGATAAAAGGGGCCCTCCAAAAGCTCCTTGTTCCTTCTGCCATGTGAGGACATGCAAGAAGGTACTGTCTGAAATCCAGAAGAGGCCCTTTGCCAGAACCTGACCATGCTGGCACCCTGACCTCAGACTTTTAGCCTTTAGAATTGTGAGAAAGAAATGTTTGCTATTTATAAGGTACCTTGTTTATGGTGTTTTGTTATAGCAGCCTGAACAGACTAAGACAGCCTGCTTGGGACTTAAAACATGAACCATGAACAATTTCTAACAGCTTCTCCATAAATCAACAGCGCTGGGCACTGTGTTAGGAGAGGCAGGAGATGAAACTGTCCATTGAAGAGAGACACACTAGCCTAAAAAGAACAAGAATGGAAGCGAAGGACAGCCTAAAATAGAAAAAGCAGGCCAGCACGCCCACACGCCTGCAGGATGTTAGAGGGCTGTAAGTGCTATGCAGCATGAAGTGCTATGCAGCAGACTGGATTCTACCTGCTGTCAAAAAGAACCTTTATCAGCCGAAACCGGTTTGGCTCAGTGGTAGAGCGTCGGTCTGCGAACTGAAAGGTCCCGGGTTCGATTCTGGTCAAGGGCATGTACATTGGTTGCGGGCATATCCCTGGTAGGGGGTGTGCAAGAGGCAGCTGGTCGATGTTTCTCTCTCATCGACATTTCTAGCTCTCTATCTCTCTCCCTCTCTGTAGAATATCAATAAAATATATTTAAAAAAAAAAGAACCTTTATCAGAGCAGAATTTTCTCACCAAACAAGAAATATGTTAAATGAACTTCATAGAAACCATTTCACAGGAATAAAATATAGCTTGTTAAATGATTAGAGGAAAATTTTCCCAATTACTTCATCACTAAGATCACAGATCCACCTCAAAAATTATATTTGAAGATTTATGATTAAGGATATATGCATAAATATTTTTAAAAGGGGAATAAGCAGCATGATTTCTATTATTTGTTTCCACTCATTTTTAAAAAATATATTTTATTGATTTTTTACAGAAAGGAAGGGAGATAGAGAGCTAGAAACATCATCGATGAGAGAAAAACATCGACCAGCTGCCTCTTGCACACCCCCTACCGGGGATATGCCCGCAACCAAGGCATATGCCCTTGACCGGAATCGAACCTGGGACCTTTCAGTCCACAGACTGACGCTCTACCGCTGAGCCAAACCGGTTTCGGCTCCACTCACATTTCTATCTCTAGAATAAAAAAGCTCTCACTCATGTAAACAGACCAGGGTTGGATGCCAATTTTTTGTCTTGATTTTGTGATTATGGTGCCTGAACTAATGTGCCTTCTGGTTGAAAGTGAAATAACAGCAGTCCTCCCCTCCTCCCCCCCCCCCCCCCCCCCAGGGCTACCCATCTAACTTAGGTTATGCTAATTCTGAGGTAATTCTTCAAAGCTGTTACTATTTTCTGACTCACAAACAGTTTCCTGTTCCTACATTTCTCTTGTGGAAGTCTTTCTCTAGTAGAGATAGGTTGGTGATAGCTGAACAAACACTTTGCAAGGGCTCACAAGTCCTGCTCTTTGTATTTAAGTGTGATGAATGGGGCTGTTAACATATTTGTAATCATCACACTATCAGTGTCTTAAAGACACACTGAATTTACAATGAAGTGACATTAAACTTAACAAATAAGTATGTTTTTTATTTCAACAAAGCCCCTGCTCAAAGGCTATCCTCCCTGGCTGGGGTCCAAGGTGAAGCTTTGAGACATGACAGGTTTACATATGTATTCACTCTATCACCGCACAGCTGCAGAAGTATGGGCAGCCTGCGCTCTGGTCCACTGCATAAGCAAGCACGATTGCCCAAGGCAGAAGGGAAGGAAGTCACGTGAAAACAAGTCTCCTTAAAATTCCTTGAAATGTTGCCCTCAAATTGGAATATCTGTTCGCACTTGGCACAGCTGACCCAATGTGTCCGACCTCGCACTCAATGATCAAGATAATCATTTATGAATTAAATACTTCTGTTACAGACAGAAATTAATATAACAAAATGCTGCTTTGATGCAGGAATAGCTCTGTGGACTGTTTTCTTTTGAAATCAGTTTATCAGATGGGCTAATTAGTTGGGTTCATTGGATTACTGGGGGTGTGGGGGGTGGGGAAGAACAGCTTTCATTTTGTACTCAGTTTGTAAATCCAACATTTGTAAACATACTTCCATTACACTGAATTGATTTATTACTCAGCAATGAAAATTGGTTTACACCAACATTAATTTAAACACCAAACAAATGGCAAAGAGCCCTTTCAATTCATGAATCTTCATGAAGCAAAGAAAATGAAATTACGTATTTCATAAAATGAAATTATGTATTTTCTATTTCTGTATGTTACATATTCCAATACTGAGAAGGATTTTCCTGTTTCATTTTCATTTGAGGAGTGAGCCTAACAATTGGCCTGGCATGCTCTTTTTCAATCCTCCCCTGATCCAGTTTCTTAAAATATCAGCATAATCTTATTTGTTTTTATCATTAGAAATCAGCCAATATTCACTTCTAAAAACTTAACATAACAAATATCTGGGAGCAGCATCTTGGAGCCAGGAGAAGGTAGTTAAAAAGAGGAGGTGAGGTGGAGGTGGAGGTGGAAGGGGATAGAGCACAGATTCCCAGAAACACAGGACCTCAAGTTGGGCTGAGATTAGCTGGCTATTGTCATCATTTTGATGAATGAAATCTAGCTGTTTTGTTCATTTTTAGGACGCTGTAATGTATATTTAGTCTAAAGTACTGACATATTATTTCAGTCAAGCCTGTTTAGAGTATGAATCCTTCTGGTCCTGAAGGAAGAATGTGAAGGTGATGTGTATGTGTGTGGGGGAGTGGTGGGAGATGCACAGAGTCCATAGTCCATCAGGAACCTAGGTGTGAACAGGCTCTGTGGGAGAAGATGCTGAACTTTCCCTCCAGCTGTAGGCCTTCTGCGCTCCCATTACTGCACAGTCAGCATTCCTCCTTGTAATCAGTGTGTTCCAGGTCAGATCCCAAATGTCCTGCTTGACATTTAACTTGACCATCAGGTCCAGAGTCCAGCAGTATAAATTCAGAGCCTCAGAACAGGGTGGACAAGATGATAATGCTGATGTGTAACCAATGATTCCTTATAGCTGGATTAGTCTTCAGATATTTCCATGATTTTGTGTTTTTTAGACACCGTATGGTATAAACTGGGATTTGGCAATTCAAATTAATATTAACATTTCAAAAATCTAATCTAAAAACTGATATAGTAAGTCAGAGAACAAATTAAAATTGTTAAAAACGTTTTAAAACTTACTGATGATGTTGTTGTGCTCTGGTGAATAAAATACAAAAGGTGAACAGAGCGAAAGCCCCTCCTTGAACGGACCAGGTGGCCAGGCCATAGCCACACCACTCAACCAATTCTCCAAAGTAGTTGGCTGCACTTACGTATTCAAATAAGCCTCCTAGAAGAAAGCACAGACACAGCTTGCATTGACTAAAAAGGAAATATTGACTTAGAGAGAACAGTAAAGACCACTTTGGAGAACATAAATTCAACTATGGGGGAAATATAACTTTTACAGAATTTTAATCAATCAAACACTTCCAACATTACTAGTTTTACTATTTCATATCACAAATTCTAGTAGTAAGTATCTACCTGTATCAATATCTATCTTTTTAGCTGAGAAAAAAAATGCTCTAGTTTTCATATACTTTAATATATATCACTTCATTAATTAATGGATCAAACGGATAAAACCTGAGCAAGGACAGAAAATACAGAACAATTAATGAATCAGCTTAATAAAATGGATCTGTATAGAAATCTAGACTAAAATTTAAAGAAAATATTAATTTTCAAGGACAGATTCATTCTTTCACTCATTCACTCACTCACTCACTCACTCACTGGTTTTATCACTCATTAAAACTTTACTGATTCATCAAGTCTCGTTATGGCCAGACCCTGGTTTAGACACTTAAAACAAACTGTGGATAAGATCCCACCCCCCACATCTGGAATGTTAAATTTCAGTGTACTAAACAAGGAAAGCAGAGTCTGGAGTTCTGTGGGGAGCAGAGCAGGGTAAGAGGGCTCAGAAGTCGAGTTGGGGGAAGAGGGAAGTCATGGTAACAGACTGGTTGGGAACAGGCCTCCTTGGGTAGGTGAATTTTGATCCCAGACTTTCTGGGAGGGTTGGGCTGCAGTTATTGGGGTGGAAGCCCTCTAGGCAGGAGAAGCAAAGGCCCTGCGGCCAAAGCTGCATACTCTACAGGGCCCCAGTTTAAGTAATTTGATATTTGTAAGTTTTTTTTTTTTGTCATTTGTTCCTTATGTTGCTACTCTCCTTGTATGATTTCCAGGTATGTAAGTGTGCTTTCCAGCTCCATTGAACTTTTAGTCTTACCTACTTGATTCCTGTTTTAAAAGCTCTATTGACTTATAACTTATATTTGCTAGTCCTTTATATAGTGTGTGTGTGTGTGTGTGTATATATATATATATATATATATACACACACACACACACACACACACATTTTTACTCATAACTTCAATCCTTTTTTATTTTTTAAACATTTAAGTATTCAGTATATAATCTGTTTCTATTAACTCTAAGATCTGAAGTCTCTCACGTTTAATCATGCCAGATTTCTTCATTGGCTCTGCAGCCTTGGAGTGTGCTCTGTGGTCTGTGGGGCTCTCTGAGGCCTGAGCTGACGGCAAGACCCTTCTGTGTGTCCTGGCCCATGTATGAGGGTACCACTCACCAGGACGACATGGATCCTAATTCATGGCTTGAGGTTTTTCAGACCCTCCAAGTGGCACTAATTTGAGCTGCAAAGCAGCATGAGGGCAGCAACGGCCACAGATTCTTTTGTGTGTACTTTGGACACTAGGACTCACTTAGATTTTGCTCTCTGATGATGACTCCCTTCCTGACACACATTCATACATTTAAATTGACTTTTAAAAAATTTCATCCAGTGAAAGCAAAGCATGGAGCAAAGAAGTACAAAGAAGTACAATTTAAGAATATGAAATAAGATAGTTTGATATATTTAAATTGTATCAGATAGAAGCTGAAAATAAGATGAAAAAGGGTAGATAGGTTTTTATTGGTGTTAAGTATCTAGAGCTTTGGTTGACTTTTTTATTATTAATTTAATTAATCCTTTATATGTTATGAGCAATAATGGCTTTTAGTTAACCCAAAAAAGTAGATTTTTATGATCTCCATTTCATATGTGAAGAAACTTGAACTCCTACCCAAACTCCTGCCACAAATTTCACTTAACATTTTTAATTGTTTTCAGAGGGTCAGTCAAGGTATCTATTATGTAATATTTTAAAAAATGATTAGACACCCTTTGTAAACCATAAATTCTTCCTCATATTTTCTCTTTCCAAACAGAAATAACTAGACTTTCCTTTATGGTTAATAACCATTCAGTTGGCCAGAATTTATCATTTTAATAAAACAATATTCATAGTGACTGCTATGAATAATAGTGACTCACATTAAAAACTACAGCTAATACATACTATACATTAGTTACTAGATCTGGCAAAATTAGAATAGCAAGGCACCATAGAATAGCAATGCAATTTTAGAATAAATTCTCCACTTTCAGTACATACCCCTTGGGATTTTGTATCCAGTCTCCCCTGGTTGCCTGAGATTCCTCAGGATGTGATCTGAGTGAATGTTTATCAGCATGCCTACCAGCCACAAGACAAAACCTGAAGGAAAAAAACACATGAGTGTGTTGCGGTTGATAAACTACAAAATTTATGAACCCAGACCTGAAAAAGCAATATCACTGTACTCCTTCAAATTATCATTATTAATATAACGTATAAGCCATAACTGACAGTAAAAATCATAATATGGTCCTTTATTTAGAAAGATAATTACTGTTCTCAGGTATGCTCAATAGGGCTTTGTTTTTCTAATAAGCTTAATTATCTGATCTAGTCAAAATATTTTGACATGATGGCCACAACCTATGTTTTTAGAATGACTGGGATGATTAGAAGTATTACTTATGGTGGTAACAGCAGTGAAGCATGGCTGCCTCCTCCATGTGGCAGAGAAGTAGTGACATCTTAGCATGTGCCTCATTGTGATGCACACAGGTCCCCAGAGGTTGGTTCCCAGGAGCTAATCTTTGGTCCTTCTCACTTCCTTTTTTATAACCTCATTTGAACATTTTCATACATATCCATGGCTTCCAACACTGCTGATTTCCTGCTCACTTATCAGTCAGTATTCCTAGGTCTGCTCACCTGCCTCAGGTCCCAACAAATCTTCCACTGCCACGGCACGCATGTGGACACCTCATGGCTTTCAGAATGCTTTCCCTCCCATTCTTAAAAGTCTTTAGAGGGCTATCCTCCCAGGAGACTTATTAGCATCACATCAATTAATGCCAAAATGAAAATGCAAAATGCTAAAATAGTGTTTTATGAAAGAAATAACTTGACTTGATTAAAAAAAAAGTTAACTTGACTGTTCCAAGATACTTTAAAAATGTGAAAGGCAGATGTTGCTTTATGGTGGTATTCCATTCAATATGAAAAAAAAAAAAGTATGCTTAAAGTAACATTAGGAATTACTCATCAGTCATCATGATGGTATTAGTTTTTTACAATTAGAATAGGGACTTTAAAGCACTTTGGTTTATGGTAAAGGTCTCAAAATGTCCTTCTGATTTTGCCACTGTAGGCTGCTGTCTTCCAGGCATTTTAAACTTGTGGTCTGCCAACAGTGAGTTTGGCATACTTGTAACAGTTCCTACCAGATTTTGTAATATAACTCACTTAGTGAATTCGTAAATTTATAGCTGATTCACCACATTTAAAATTTTTTTTTTTCATTTCAGTATGTCACTGCTAGGTGATATGGCCCCCAATTTGAGGTCCCAGAAAGTATCATGTTCTCAAAATTCCATGCTTACTTTATTCTTCTTCAAAGAGACAAGCTTCCTTTGCTGTCTAGATTGGGGTCCATCTAAGCTAAACAATTGATTCCATATCTGGGGAATCTTGAAAATTTTTGCAAAAACTCTTTTAGATCAATGACTTTTACTACTCTGGAAAATCTTTTGTTAAGATATTATCATTATTATTTGCTTACCTCTTCATGGTAAGTATCTTATATGTAATCAATTAATTATTTATGCAATTTCTTGTTAGTCTCCTTACAAAACTGAGCTCTATGAAATAAATAAAATGCAAAGAGTAACTTAGTTTGTTTCCCTATTGTTTTCTTTTCATTTTTGATTCCTTCTCTTCAATTGTAAAGAAGCCAATAGGTCTGTGTACAATTTACCAGTGTCTTAAATTTTAAACAGCTTCCAAAGCATCTGCAGGTGATGTGGTCTGTCTCCTATAAATGACAATGATATTCACAGACCAAAATGATTCTTTTGTTTTGTTGTTGTTCATCAAAATTAATCAAATAATGATTCCTGTGAGAATCACAAATAAGCATTAAAACCCTTATCTCTTAGATTAAAAACTAAAACCCTCCCCTCGCTACTTTTGGGAAACCAGTGTGGTGAGCAGGTTTAAACCCTTGCTCTGCTATTTACTCAATTTAGATGACAGGCCAGCAGCTTAACCCACGGATTCTCCCTCTCTCCTGTGAAAGGACTTACTTTCTACTCTTCTCAGCGTGTTGAGGAAGCATAAGGCACATACATGTGCAGCTCCTGGCTGATGGCCAGGCCTGTTCTCTCTCCTGTGTTTGATGGTTGGGGCAGAAGAAAATCAGGTTGTCTAAAGGCAGGTAATCAAGAAGATATTTGGGATAGTGTACAAACAATATAATTTCGTGTTTCCCGGAGGCACAGATTTGTGGCGTTAGAAAAGGATACTGAAACACTTTCTCCCCCATCCTTCTTTTTTTTTTAAATATATATTTTATTGATTTTGTACAGAGAGGAAGGGAGAGAAATAGAGAGTTAGAAACATCGATGAGAGAGAGTCATGGATCAGCTGCCTCTTGCATACCCCCTACTGGGGATATGCCCACAACCAAGGTACACGCCCTTGACCGGAATCGAACCTGGAACCTTTCAGTACCCAAACTGACGCTTTATCCATTGAGCCAAACCGGTTTCGGCTCTCCCCAATCCTTTTGATAGATGAGGCAGCTCCCTCCTAATAAAAGAATTCAGATATGAGCAGGGCACTGCCCTGGGAATAAAATTTTAATTCACAGAAAAAACTATGACTGAGAAATGTAAAAGCACTTTGTCAACAACAAAGTACTTCAAATGTTAGTTTTCTCTATCATTGCAGATTTATATAGGGAAAAAGCCAAACAAAAGGTAACTTTATGGAGTTTGGGATGAAGGACTGTGGGGCAGCTTGAGAATTTGAGGTTTAATCTCATATCTCTTAGGAGGAGTTATAGGGGCAAGTTACATATGAATGTGTTACAATTAACTGTAGAAGGTGCACGGCTATCTTAAATAAGATGAACAATTAGTGCCCAAGTTTCCTCAGTGTTCTGGCTGTTCAAGCTGCTGAACCTTATTGCTATATTTAGGTTTGTCTTAAGAACAGGTATTTGTGCCCTGGTCGATGTGTGTCAGGAGGTTGGAGTGTCCTCTGAATTGTGCACCAAAAAGTGTTGGGTTCAATTCTGGGTCAGGGCACATACCCAGGTTGTGGGTTTGATACATGGGAGGCAACCAATTCTCACATCAATGTTTCTTTCTCTCTTTTCCTTGCTCAAAAAAGGACAGATATTTGCACTTTCGGTGTCTGAGATGTGCATCTGCATCATCTCCCGCTGCTGAGACACTAGGATAGCCTGATTCTGCCCCTAGCACTCCAGTCTCACCCCCATCCCCTTACCCTCCTCACCCACTCCAGCAGCTAGGTCATGAACCATCTGACTTTTTGCTCTCCCAAGAAGTGTGGAAAGTGTGGGCTTTCTCACTGCAAATAACTGGAACATGAACAATGAAGTATGACTGGCAAGGTGGAATGCATAACTAAGGTCACTCACCTGTTAGGAATCGTGGGTCAGTGATCCAGTCATCAGTATACACTGCAAATTGGCTTAAGTATCTGCTTTGCATGTAGCCATTATAGGTACAGAATATGAATGCAATTACACATGAGTACAATGGTGTAGGCTTCCCTCCTCGGATCAGAAATGGGAAAATCAAGGACCTGAGGAAACAAGAAACAGAAACATTAAAAAGAACAACAATAAAGTATTTCTGGAATTCTATTTTAAGTGCCTTGGGGCTTTAATATCACTACCGTGTACATAAATTATTCTCAGTAACACATACTGATTTACTCTATCTGTTAAAGGTACAACTTATAGATTAAAAAAAATTAACCATCTTTGTCTAGCTGGTTCAGTGGATAGAGCATCGGCCTGCAGACCAAAGGGTCCTGGGTTTGATTCTAGTCAAGGACACATGCTCAGGGTTGTGGGCTCGATTCCCAGTGTGGGGGTGGAGGGGGCGCGTGTAGAAAGCAGCCAATCAATGCTTCTCTCTCATCACTGATGTTTCTCTCTCTCCCCTTCTCCCTTCCTCTCTGAAATCAATAAAAAATATATTTTTGAAAAAAGAGGAAAAAAAACTAACCATCTTTCAATAATGTACACCATACTGCGCAAACTCAGGATTCTCATTATAAAGAAGGTGAAACTGATGAGGATTATAGAAAACTGAGGTTTTCAAGAGGCTCTCAAAACCTCTACTATCTGAAAACCCATAGCTCGTCCTAGTCTGAGCATTTTATCCGTCACCATCACAAATGGCTCTCATCTACTAAGCACCATCAGCTATAAGGCCTCCCAGTTACCTGCACAGCAGAGACTTTATACATATTCAACAGAGGATGAAATCAAGACTTGGAGTGGTTAAGTAATCTGTTTCAGATCACAGGGCTAGTGACTGGCCAAACGTGTTAATCTGGGGAATTCAAAGATCATGTTTTTCTGTTATACCATGCTGGCTAGGTGCACACTAAGTTTAAAGAGAAAAAAGAATAAGGACAAGAAATTACAAATTTATGAAGAAAAGAAGATGCATGTTTCAAAAGTATAGATGAATGAAGTGTTAAAGAAGTGACTCTGATGAAACATTCTGCAAAGGCGGTAGTGTTTCCCTCCAGGACGTCAGAATCATGTGTAGGGCGGCTAACATTTGATAGTCCTCCCAATTCAGTTTCAAGTGCAGGGCTGAATTCTGAATGCAGCAAACACTGGCTGGCACTTTGTAAAGGTGAAACCCAAACCTCTCTTGTTTTCCCCTCACACTCCTTTCCTCCTGACACTCATGTGTGCTGCGTAGTAACCTGGCTCTAGATTGTCAGCACTACCACCTGTTTTTGTACAGACTGTGAGCTAAGAATGACTTTTACAGTTTTAAGTAGTAGGGAGAAAAATCAAAAGAATATTTTATGACATATGGAAATTACATGAAATTCAAGTTTCAGTGTCCGTAAATAAAGTGGTATTGGAACAGGTCTGGTCACTTTCTGCAGCTGCTCTGCAGTTACACTTGCAGACTTGAGTGGTTGTGATAGAGCCTGTATGTGGTGATTTCAACCCTCTGCATGGCTGCTTGTGTGCACTGTAAATTACCATGACACAGTGTTTCGAGTGCTATGAGTATCCTTGTTTGATACATTTATTTTAGTATCAGTGATATACATGTGAAGACAAGTGAACTAATTGTTCATGTCCTGAAGGAAAGGTGGAGTGTGGATATTACTAGAGGTGGCAGAGCAATCTTTGTTATGCAATGACATGCCAGTTTTGCCATAAGCATAGAGGTTGGTATTACCAAACCACACACTCATCAGAGTATCTCCAACTCACAGGAAAGGTCAGAAAAATGAAGAAAATTTAAAACAGAATCTCATCACAGAATTTCTTTACAAAAGAAATGAAAATGAGGCCACAACCACAGGAAGTTACCAAGTTAGGCAAGCAAGGGAAGCCATACCCCCATGGGGAATTAATTGGCTGCAGCAACATTAAAGGAACATGCCTAGACAATACAAACTTGAAGCACTAGTCTTTCCGTAAGAGCAGCTGCTTGAGGAGTTGGGGCATCAGGAGCAATGCCAATAGTCAATTAAAAAACAAGGCTGGGGGGAATGAGGTGTGGGAGTTTGGGAAGAGATTGGACAAAAATCTCACACCTATGGACGAGGACAGTGGAGTGGGAACCGGATGGAGGGGAGATATGGGGAGAAAAAAGAGACACATCTGTAATAATATAAACAATAAAGATTAAAAAACAAGGCACAAGATTGAGTGAGCAGTCTTCCTCGGCTTTTGTTGGGTCCATGGATGTCACTGATACTGCTCAGTTGTTTATTTAAGGAGTCAATGCCAAGGTTGACTTGATTGAGGAACGAAGCTCTTAAAATAGTCACTGTGGAACAACTGGAAACAAGAGTATTTTCAAAGAAATTGAGAAAACACGAATTCTATACAACCCAAAGTAGAATCTACTGTTACAGCTCAATAGTAAAAATGTATGGAACAGAAAAATGGACCCATTACAAATTTATAAAACTTGTTAAGATGTAGGTGTTTAATGCTACTCCCTGTACTTTCCAGAACAATCTATGTCATGTGATTGAACCATTAGGGTCAACAGAGAATTTTACATTCTCTCCAGGGCTTATACACTCATTATTAGTGAGTTCTGAAGGGCTTTGGAAATTAGTTTTTGCTGCAGATATGATGATGTTTCTTAGTGAATTCAACCCTACACTGTATGACAAAACATCACTTAAATGCAAAGCTTATACTGTGTGTAAGTCATTTCAATGATAATTGACATGGTTTGAATGGCAAGCCATGTCAAACTGCTTTATATACTTTTTATGCTGTTGAAGTTAAAAGAAGAGGTGCTGTCTCCATTCTTACAGAAATTTTGCAGTGGATATAATTTCTAGAATCAAAGTAGTTTTTTGAACCTTGATTTCTATATTTAAAAAATCATTTAACTGTGTAATTGAGTTGACACCTAATATTCAATTGGAAGATACTAATCTACAGGCAATGACACACTAAAAGGCAAATATTGAGAAAATCTAAAAGAATTTGATAAATGGCTCTCAAGGAATGAACATGCTCAATTAAAATAATAAACTCATGGACTGATATCAATATTTAGCAATGCCTGTGTGGAAAGCCATTTTCCAAGATAAAATTTCACTGCAGATTAGCACTAAGAGGTGCTAATTAGCACTAAGAGGTGGACACTTACAATAGACTTTGGAAAATACTAACACTGAAGCCCAAGGATGGGAAATGTCATCCCCCACCAAAGGAATAAGTCCTTCCTTCTCATTACAGTTGCATGACAAAAACTGCACTGAGATATTGTTGTATTTTAAATTGTGTTAATAAAATTTTTGTGAAAATTTGTTTTCTCCTCTGTTATAAATACCTACACAATATCCCCTATTTTGTCTGTTGGCCCACAAAGTTTCAATATGCACTATTTAGCCCTTTTCTTAAAAAAAAAAAAAAAATGTTGCCAATCCTTAGTCTAGATTAGTACGTTTCAGACCAATAGTTTTATTGCTAGCTTTATCCAATGGCCAGATAAGTTTCTATTGAAAGAGTACAAAAAACGTTTTACATAAATGTTAAAGGCAAGCTTTAAAATTAAATATTTATTGCATTTTGAAGTTATTTATTACATGTTCTTATAAGCTAATATCTTTTTAAAGTATGATCATTGTAAAACACTGCGTAATATGAAGCAAGAATTTTCGTGATCTGTCTGCAACGTGTTAAAACAGTTATAGATAAGAGATCAACCGAAGGACTTGTATACATGCATATAAGTACAACCAATGGACACAAAACTCTGGGGAGGAAGGGCATGTATGGGGGGAGGGAGCAATGGTATATGTATACAGATAATAATTTAATTTAAAAAATTAAAAATTAAAAAAAAAGTTATAGTCGGGAGCCATCACTTATACTTCCTTAGAAAAATGTTCTTGTACAAGAACCTGCACTTGGCTTTCAGATAGATGCTGCAGTCTGGGGCATTTGTGCTGGAGGTGGAGAACATGCATCTAAGGCAGTGTTACACAGAGTCCCAGCATGTACCCTGGGAAAGATATTCATGAAGGACCTTGGTAGAAGAATCACTTCTCTTTGGTCTCATGTGAATGTCAGAAAAGTGGCCATGGCCCGAAATGGCCTTAAGAAGAATGACACAGGTCTATTCTATTGCTTTCTTAATTTCTGCTCTTGAAGAGGACAGCAGTGACCCTGATGCCACAGCCAATGTCAGGAGGAGAAAAGGCAGGTTCGGGCAATGATGCCTATGCCTTCAGAACTCCAGGAGGGAGAGAAGGTTCTCTTCTCCATCCTGTCCTTCCCCAAGCCTGAGCATCCTCTGGTGGACCAAACACTCCTGGCTCTGAAGACACAAGAGCCGGGTCTTCAGTAGCCAGACATCTAGATGCAGCACGCCTTCCAGAAGGGAACACTCTGCTTCCCCTCAGCAGTTTTCAGACTTTCTCCTTTTATGTTATTCCCTTTAGTTTTACTTTGCTTTGGAAATACATGTAGCTGTTGTCAGATTTTCCTTTGACTTAGACCCCTGGTCGGCAAACAAGCTCATGGGCCAACAGACAAAATGCGGCTCTTTGGCCCCTTGAGTGTGGCTCTTCCACAAAATACCACGGCCTGGGCGAGTCCATTTTGAAGAAGTGGCGTAAGAAGAAGTTTAAGTTTAAAAAATTTGGCTCTCAAAAGAAATTTCAATCATATCCTCTTAATATTTGGCTCTGTTGGCTAATGAGTTTGGGAACCACTGTCTTAGACCAATTAGGAGCCAGAATGGGAGTGGAGAGAGTGTCTTCCAGGTATGGCTTTTATCTGACCTTTCATCTAGTTAGACTGCAGTTCAAGGATCAGAGTGGCTCTAGGGCAGTCTCTCACAGTGAAGAGTCGCTTAGAGACTGGGAATCAGGCTCAGAGAGTAAAAAAGGCAGCACACTTACTAGACTGACATACTTAGCACCTGTCAAGACCCAGGGTCTAGGGTCCAGAGTGTCTGTTACAGCAGGTCTGGGTATTCAAAAGCCTTTTCTCACAGGTTGTCTTCATCTAGGAACTGCAGGGAATGAGCATTCCTCCTTTTTGAGAAAAGGACTAATAAGTCAGACTAAAGTTGAAAATCCTTTACAATGGAAATTATCTTTAAGAGTAACTATGAAGTATTTGGACTTAAAGGTAGTTTATTTAGGTAATGTATTATATAAATCTATTTTCTGTTGATAATGAGCTGAAGGTTATACAATAGCCAGGTTCCATGGAGCTACAAAGAATTTCAATTTTCTCACTCAAGAGGCTGGCTATGGACAGAAATCAGCATTTGTTCTCCATCATGTTGCAATTTTTCCATTTTACTTTCTGTTCCATGTAAGCAGACTCCCTTTCACCATGTTTTTTAAATTACTTGTGGAAATTTGCACATTTTTGTGTCTGCAAGGCAATGGGGAATATGGGACACATCTGATGATGGGAGTCTGCTAAGACCTAGGGTGGTTGTCAGGAAGAAGAGGCCTTGTGGGTATTTGAAAGTCTGCAATCTGGGGCCATTCAATATTCTCCCTCTGTGGACCCCATCATAGTAAAGACACCACATGCTTGAGTGGGATTTCCTTGTCATGGATAAAATGTTCCCACAGATGACCTTTGCCAGCTATCAGGAAAGAGATCAGGGCCATGGCACGTTCTTTCACACAGCTGTTCCCTCTTTCCATTCAAGACTTCCCTTCCATCCCTGGCTCTTCAGCCAGAAAGATCTCTCAGATTCTCTATAATCTGTCTTCCATTCCTTAAAGGCCGATCATGTCTCTATAACCCCAATAATGTGTGCAGTGCTGGACACACAGCTTAGTCCTCAGTAAATATTTGCTGGATGAAGAAAGATGTTCAAGTGTTCCCTCTCCTATACACAAATACTCTTTCCCATTGACCTTAGGGAGCCCCTCCATCTGGGTTCAGTCCTCCCCACCCCCTGGAGAGGCTAAAACTCACTGGGGCAGGGCCTAGCCTCCCTCTTCAGAGTTCACACTGCCCCCCCCTTCCACTCCAGCCCCCAAACATCTGCCAAGCTCTGTAAGTTGCCACCAGTTGGGCCTGGTCAGTCTCTTTCTGGAGCACATCCCGATTAATACTTCTCTTGCCTTTAGCCAGACTCTGGCTTCATTCATACAATCTCCTCTCTTATTCAGGCCAATATCACTTGCATTCCTCTGTACAAATGAGGGACTCCATTAAGTGTTTCCCAGCTCAGCTGCATGCCTTGTAATAAGTGCTAAATGCAGCTGGTGCTTCTATTCTCTTCTAAATGCTCACCAACTTAGGTCAGATGACTGTTTAATAAATTAGTTGCTAGGGTAGAATGGAAAATGTTTATCTTTTCTATTTGGAAAAATTCAATGTCCTGAAACCACACAGGCTATGTGTAAAGTGAGATGTGCAACTTAAAAAATAAAAAATAACCCAGTGGGGTTACATGAAATCTGTTGGTCATAGATTAGGGAGCTGGGTGAATTAGGGAAGGGGATTTCAAAACTACACCTGAGTAGGCAAATCCTCAGGGCAGAGTTTCTAAAGCTACTAGTCTAGGCACCAGAGTTTGCAGTTCCAGCAATCTCTAGTCCAACAGCCTTGTATAAAATTCTAGAAATGATGTTGGCCTTTTGGGAGGCTGCATTCTTTACTTCACTAGAGTGAGCATAGAATGGATTAAACATCATAACTTAAGTTCAAAAGCTTAGACAGGGTTCCAAACAAAGCTCTCTAAAGTGCTCTCTTCTTTCCCAATGCCATGTCTTCAAAAAAATTTTATTGGCACTCAAAGCTGGCAGCAGCATGCATGAAAGACACAGAGTATAGGGAAGGATCTGCCCACTTGCATGACAATCTAAAATGGTATTATTTATCATGTATTTAGCATTCAAATTTGCCAACACTATGAAAGCATTTTATGGAGCTGCCTTTGTTTAATGTCAATCCCATAAGCTGGCATCATCACTGTGTTTTATAGATGGGGAAATCCACTGAAAAGCAATTTAGTAATTCATCTCGGGTCCCAAGTGATGGGAATTAGTAACACCTGGCAAACTGACTCCAGCGACTGCTTTTAGCCACTAGAGAAACGGACATATGGACAAACACAGGTCTGATATATGTATGGCAAAGTGTATATAGACACGAGAGTTCTACTGATATTCAAATTGCACCCACAAATTTGGTAATGTTCAACCATATTATAAAAACATCCAGCAGGCTGACAGAAACTTTGTTTAATGAAATACTCTTGGAATATTAGGAAACAAGACTCAGACAGGCTTTGTTGAATATGAACTCTGCCTACTTAAAGTGCCTGCATAAAAGCAGATGACAACACACTGCACCAGGAAGGACTCCTGTGTCCTAATTAACCACACAGAAGAGAAATTCCTAGACAGACACACAAAGAGATACAAGCATGCTGACTTCTTCCTACCTCTCTATGCAGTGGGTGTTGTAAGGTGGGACCAAATCAGAGAGTTTCAATAACCTGCCCACATTCACAGAATAAGTGAGCCCAGCTTTATTGATGTAGAAAACGTTATTTTTAATTGTGCAGCCTTCTGAAGTCTGAATCAAAAATTTTACATTTTGATTTCCAGCTTTTGTTCAGCCTTTTGGTTTAGCCGTGTAAAAGCCAAAGCCTAAGAGCTGGAGAGCCCAGCTTATCAGAAGAACCTGAAGATCTCAGACACAACCACTAAAATTCTTCACAAAAACCAAGAGCTGGAAGTTCTCTGTGTCTAAAGTCACTGCTTGGAAAGTTATTACCCTAATCCTTGGTCCTGTGCATAATTCGGAGGTGAAAGTCTCAGAAGTGACCAATTTCTGCCCCCGAGAACTATACAGGGGGATTTACAAAGTCCTTCCAGGAAAGCAGTTTTCCAGGCAATCACCCACCCAGGAGAAAACAAGTCCCACTGACAAGGATACCAAATGGAAAAGGGAGAAAAGGAGCCAGAAACGTTGCTGGGGGTTTGGGGGTGTTTACCTTTGGCCAGATGCTCTGGACTTCAATAAAGCCCAGGATTATTGTATAGCTAACACTTTCTAGGTTGAAATTTTCAAACAAGTGTTAATGTAAGAAACATTCAAACCTGTAAAGAATTTTTGTGAGTTTATTTGAGCCAAACGGATTGTGATAATGTTCCAGAGAAATGGCAGTTTTTCATCTTGTTTTTATACATTACAATCAAAGGAGGAGAGGTAAGTGGGTTTCATGAAATCCAATGGTCATAGATCAGGGAGGCGGGTGAAAAAGGATCGGACAAAAAGTAAAATGACAAGGTACACCCTTCTTTTACACAGGCGGGTTACAGGACAGTTAAGTCAATAATTAACTTGATCACAACAACGAGGAAATTGATGGTCTTTGTCCTGGTGCATTAGTTGTGCCCTGAAGGGTCTCGAAAAAGCGAAATTACCTGGACATTCCAAAGGTACGTTATGACAGATACAAAAAGACAATAAGCTCGTCAAGATTAAAGTTGATCTTTGTTAGGGAAGACACCAGTATAGCCTGTTTTTAATTTAGTAAAAGTTTTAATTTCAGACCATCCCGTGGTGACTTTAGGTCTCTGAGTTTGCAAGCCCTCCCCTCCACACAGGCTTTCCCGGAGCTGGTCGGGTTAGCATGTGGCCCCTTTTCACCTACACAAGTCTCTTCTGTCTCCCCCACCCCCGCCACCTGTAAAGTTCTCTAACGTTTCACCCCTTTTCCAGACCAAAATTTCCAAGCTAGCTCCCTGTGCCAGGGTACAGAAGCGGGGCCTAGAAGTGTAGGGAGAGGACACCAGGCACTGGGGAGTGGGGGTCCCTCAGGGGAGGGGATGCCTCGGGGCTGGAGGGAGCGCAGTGAGTTGGCACCAAGGACTACGGGGAGGAGGGACAGGTGAGAATGGAGGGGACTGTCGCAGAGGGAGCCTGGGGCACACGCAAGGAAAGAGCAGCAAACTGGGGGAAGGGGGCGTGGGTGTGTGTATGGAGTGCGTGTGCGTGTGTGTGTTGGGGGGGTAGGTGTGTAGAAACAGGCGGAAGGAGCCAGCTGGGGGCGTAGGGACAGGGAGCCCGGCCCGGGACGGGTGGGTGGGTGGAAAGGAGTGCCAGGGACACAGGAAAGAAAAGGAGAGCCGGGCGCGAGCAGAGGGAGCCGGGTCGGGGGCGCAGAGAAGGGCGCGGGACCGCCGGCCGTTACCGTTGTAGGTAGTGGACGAAGAACATGCCCAGGAGGACGCGGTTGGGCCAGTGGCGGAGGCGCTCGGCCGCCGTGCGGACGCACACGAAGAAGGGCACGACCAGCGAGGGCAGCTCCTGAACCACCCAGGCGGTGGGTGCAGCTAGCCGCCAGGCCGAGCTCTGCGACACGTAGCGCCCATAGGGCGAGCCCACCAGCATGAGCAGCACGGCGGCCAGGAAGCCTAGGGCGCACTCAAGGTAGGCGAGTGCGTCGAGCAGGTACCGTTCCGCCAGCGCCATCACGGAGGATGGCAGGCTCGCTCCATTGCAGGGCGATCGTGGCGGGCCACATATAGGCGGTGAGCGGTCGGGAGGCGCGGTTACCTGAGGCTAGGATGGCCCGCCAGCGCCCGAGACGCCAGCAGCTCTTCCCGGGCCGGTTTGAGGCGATGGGGTGCGCCCCCGCGGCCGGTCCGACCAGTCGCCTGCCCGCCCGGTGCGTTGGGGGCGGAACGGGGGGGCGGGCCTGCAGGCTTTCCTCCCCGCCCACGCCACGGAACCTGGCCTCCGGGCCGCGCTCTCGTTGCTCTGCGCATGCGCGACCTCGGGCTGTCCGCGGAGCTGCCTGAGGTAACGCGGAGAACCCTAGCACCCGGCTCAGAGACGCCTTTTTGGCTGCTCTCTTTTGCCACTTTCACACTCAGGCTGTCAACGGATCCCTTTGTTTTCTGGACGTAGGGGTCGCAGTGCTTATCACTTGGTCTTGAGGTTTTCTGCAGGCGCGGGAGAGACGGAGCGCACCTGCGGGGGGCCTTGAGCTGCAACCCGGAAGTACGCGCAGCCGACGGTGGCGGGTCGGTGGGTGCGGGCGGTGTGCGCGACCGCGTGGGCCATGGGGCGGAGGGCGCGGTGCAGGCGGCTTCAGCAGCAGCAGCAGCAGCAGCGGCAGCCCGAGGGAACGGAGGACGGCGCCGAGGGCGCCGGAAAGCGCCATGACGCGGTAGGAGCCGGGGCCAGGCGGACCGCGCTCCACGTGGGCCTCCCAGATCCCTAGACCTGTGGGGTGGCTTCCCGAAGCCTGAGTAATTCCCTTTTTTTTCCCCCCCTCAGGGCTGGGAAGGCGGGTACCCCGAGATCGTCAAGGAGAACAAGCTCTTCGAACACTACTACCAGGAGCTCAAGATCGTACCCGAGGGCGAGTGGGACCAGTTCATGGAAGCGCTCAGGGAGCCCCTCCCGGCCACCTTAAGAATTACTGGTTACAAGAGGTAACCAGTGCATTTATTTCCTCAAGGGTTGGGATGCCTAAGGTTGACTTTTAAAAAACGAGAGTGTTTTCCCGAGAGGTGTTAAATGGCTGGATAACCGCTGCAAGTCAGCGGTGTGGATCCTAGAGTGATAAGGCATCGAGGAGGGAGCGCAGGGCCCAGCGGGGTAGGCCAAGGAGGTCTGGAGGCATGTGAGATGGAAGGCTAGAATAGGAAATGAAAAAGCAAACTGAGAAAGGGTGGACCCCCTCGGGGTTCGTGAGCCATGACTCCTACCCTTTGAAACACGTGAAAATTTCTGACATTATTGAGGTCTATCCCGATGGGTCTTTGTCTGTAGACTTACATCGTTGGAAACGCCTCATAGAATAAATATGTTGCTTCCTTTAATCACAGAACTGTGTGTTAGATCTGTGGGAAGGAGTTACAAGACAGGAAAAAAATTTTTCTGATGTTACCAAGTTTGGATAGAGCTGTTTCTCTCCCATCTCTCCCCCCCCCTCTCTCTCTATGTATGTATGTATGTATGTGTACACACATCCACACTAGAGGCCTGGTGCACAAAATTCCTGCCCTTGGGGGGGTCTCCTGGTCGTGCCCCCCCCCCCCCCCCCCCCCCCCCCCCGCGCAGTCCAAGAGCCCTCAGGGATGTCTGACTGGCATGGGGAGTGGGCCTAAGCCGGCAGTGGGTCATCCTTAGCGGTGCTGTGGAGGCAGGAGAGGCTCTTGCTGTTGTGGGTTGAACCCTGGGTTCAAAATGAGACCACTGGAGGCTGATGATTGATTTCAAAAAAAAAAAAAAGAGCAGGCAAGGATTTATTGAACTGGTCAGGACGCCACAAGAGCACCACACACAGGTGGCCACACTCATGACCACACTGTTTCAGGTGTAGGAAGTCCTTTTAAAGGTCCAAACCACAAGAATTTTCCTTTGTTCTAAATTCTAAACTTCCAATGCTGGGAATAGCCAGCAGGGTCGTTCCCAGCAACATCCTGCTGGACATTGGAATATGGCCCTATCTTGCGATAGCCGATAATACAGAAGCAGAGCTCAGCAATTAATCTCTAAAGGTTATCTACTGTTTCTACCCCTGAAGCTACTGAGTCAGTGGGAATCAATCTCCTGTAATTCTGGTCCCAGGCACAGGAAAATTGCCTTAGCCTCCAGGTCTCCACCTGGAAGCTGAGGTAACTACCCTATTTTTAAGCAGATACAGAAGCCAGAATAACAGGGTTAAAATTCAAACAGCAGTTTTTACCCAAGTATGGTTGCTACCATATTTCACTGCCACCTCTGCTGCTCTCACTGACCATGAGCCTGGCTCAGGGCTTAATGGCTGAGCTGTGCTCCCCCTGTAGGAGTGCACTGACTACTCAGGGGCAGCTCCTCATTGAGCCTCTACCCCCTGGTGGTCAGTGCTCATAATAGTGACGGGTTGTTCCGCAGTTCAGTTGCTTTGCATATTAGCCTTTTATTATATAGGATATAAAGGGTGTCCTCCACTAAATGGTATATATATACATGTTGAAAATGAAATTAATAAACACTGCCTTTATAATTACTTAGTGTATACATTTTTGTGTTAATACCCTTCCAAGATGAATTGCAAGCAAAAACTAGGAATATTTAAGAGGGGAGGAATGCAGTAGAAGTGTATTTAGTTTGTCATCCTTTGGTGATTAAACAGTGAGTATTGTTTTAGCTTTGAAGGAATAAAGAGGCAGTAATAAAAGAATGTCTTCTCTCCATGCAAAGGTGGTTTTAGTTTTAGATCACTTGAAATCTTAAATTCACCAAAAGATTAACTGTATTAGCCTTTCAGGTTGGTTTGAAACTTGCTTGCTTTTTTTTTTTTTTTTTTTTTTAAACAGCCATGCAAAAGAGATTCTACATTGCTTAAAGAACAAGTATTTCAAAGAATTGGAGGACCTGGAGGTGGATGGTCAGAAAGTTGAAGTTCCACAACCTCTGAGTTGGTAGGTACAAGAAGGCTCCATGCTGTTGCATGTGTTTGGGATTTTAATCATTACCAAATATGTCTTGGTAATGTATTTGCTATTAGCATAAAAGAACTTGAACATATGTATGAGGTATCCTCATATTTTTCACCCACTGCTTTTTATTGATATTACTGGTGTGCATGTTTTAATGTATGATCCCCCCCCCCCCCCAGTCAATCCAACCTCTTTGCTTCCCTGATGTTACCACTTCTACCATTTCCATTTAAGCTCGTTTTCTCATGTCAAACTGTTGCTAAGTGTTTACTTTCTGAAAAATGACAGCCTTAACCTGGCAAAGCTGCACAAGTCTGCTCCAGCTGACTCTGTTCTCTTGCGCCTCAGCATGCTCCTGATCTTTGTGCTAACCTCCCCCCTCTCCACCCCCCTTTGTCAGATTCTGTAGGTTACTTGTTTTTCATGGCCCAGGTCAAGTCCTGGGGAGTCATTTAATTGTTATAGTTCCACATTTCAGATTATCAACTTTGAGTTGTTGAATATTCTCACAAAATTGTGTGTGTGTGTGTGTGTGTGTGTGTACATACATATTTAGATATTTAATAATTGTTCTAAAACCGTGAAGTTAACCAGCATTTTCTGATAACTTTTGTAGGTTTTAACTATTCAAATGAATGATATTACCTTTCTTTTTTACATATTCTTTAGTGATTGTAAACCAGGGTCAGGTTTTCATTAATCATGGGCTGTCGATTTGTTTGCTTTTCTTTCATTTTTACTGTCCATATCAGTGATACGTGCAGGGTACACATTTTGAATCAATGACAAATGCCAATGCTAAAATCATTATTCAGCTGAAGTTCTCTGTGGTTGAAGAATAGAAGTGAATCACTGTCTAATAATGGCCAGTCATTATCTTCATGTTATTGATTGCTTTATTTTTCTGAACACAATTGAAGCATGTGGACAACATATTATATGATTTGGGTTTCCAATACTTACATTTTGTTTTTTCCCCCCCTCATAACTGCATGGCAGTTTTATTGTATAAACATTTACTTAATCAAATTCACTTACCAGGTTTGGGATACCCATACATCTCTCAGCAAGCAAGTAAAGCAGACACTTACCAAGAGGCTTGATGGTTTTCTGTATTGCTCAAAATGCAGAAATATATAATACTAGAGGCCCAGTGCACGAAAATTCGTGCACTTTGGAGAGGTGGACCCTCAGCCACAGGAAGCTGGCTTAGGGAGCCGGCTTGGGAAACGGGCCTAAGCTGTAGTCTCGCCTCCCTCTATGGGAGGTGACTGGGGTGATCAGGGGAAGGCGCTGCCCCAATCACTCTGCTGCTGTCGCCACTGTTGGATGTGAGGCCTGAGCCCCTGGCTTTGCAGTCGCTGGGGCTCACGGCTGCCTGAGCCCTGGGCCTTGCAGCTGCTGTGGCTTTGTCTAGATGGATATCCGGAAGACATTCTAATTAGTATATTACCATTTTATTAGTATAGATCCTTCTTAACCTTGTGGTACATAATGGAATAACATTTAGGAAAGTTTGTGGGAATTCTGTTTTCTGTATATAATTTTTTTTCTTTTTATAGACTCAGAAATACATTAAACAAAATTGTAATCAAATGCTTGTCAAACATTTTGATACTTGGTTTGCCATATTATTTTGGTTGTGTGATCTGCACTTTAAATTTAAGAAATTTATTATCTTAGGTGTTTTTTTATTTTTCTGATGACCTTTATGCCATCATTAACTTACCATACATAGTAAAGAGCAGAGGATTCTCCACTTTTTTGTCAGATCCTAAACATTTATCATCATGGTTTTACTGAGATGGCACATGTGTGTGTGTCTCCTGTGACCCCTTAGGCTCTCCTGTTTCTGCCCGGGCCATGGGACTTTAAGAACCATGCTCCTGTGTCCCAGGGGACATCATCAGTGTTGGCTGACTGAACTGGAGAGGTTCATGGATGAGCAAGCAGAACAAATTTGGGTGTTTCATTGGCTATATGACCTGGATAAACAAGAAGTCAGTGAGAGAGCACTTTAATATATACAGCCCATAAACATTTTACTCTCTTTTTGGTCAGGTATCCTGAAGAACTTGCCTGGCACACAAATTTGAGCCGAAAAATTTTGAGAAAGTCTCCACAATTAGAAAAGTTTCACCAGTTTCTGGTTAGCGAAACGGAATCTGTGAGTAGAGTTCTTTAGACTTGTTGGTTTCCTTAAAGTTTTAAATGCATAATAGTGTCATAGTTGTATTTTTAGCCCTATTTGTCAATGGGAGTGGTCAAGTAGATAAAGTATACAGGAAAGACAACTGCATCTGTATTTTTTATCTGTAATCTGTGATTATGAAGCTGTTACCTTGTTTGGTTGCGCTAACCATGTACTTTGATAGGGATATTATCACAGTTGTCAGCTTGATTGTGTTTGGGTGGCTGCAGAATTGGGATGTGCACAGGACTGCTTGATAGCATGCTATTTAGGAGACAAACACTTATTCCACTCTCAAGTGTATATGCCAGGTGCTTATAACAAGAAAGTAGTATGTTTTTATGGCTGTGCTACTTATTTTACTAATAGTGAGACTTTTAAACTCACTTTTTATCACTTCTGTTTTTGTTTTTGTTTTTTTATCCTGTCTCTACTCCATTTTTGTCATAACAAGCATACATACATACATACATACATACATACATACATACAAAAAAAATACCTAAGCCTTAGCTGGCTTGGCTCAGTGTAAAGAGTTCGAACCAAAGAGTTTTGGGTTCGATTCTGATAAAAGACACATACCTTAGTTGCAACTTCTTCCCGGCCTGGACGCTGGTCAGGGCTCATGCAGGAAGCAACCAATTGATGTGTTTCTGTCACATTTAATATATTTTATTGATTTTTTATAGAGAGGAAGATAGAGAGATAGAGTTAGAAACATAAATGAGAGAGGATCATCGATCAACTGCCTCTTGGACAATCCTTACTGGGGATGTGCCTGCAGTCAAGGTACATGCCCTTAACCGGAATCGAACCTGGGACCCTTTGGTCCGCAGGCTGGTGCTCTATCCACTGAGCCAAACCGGTTTAGGCAAGACTCAGTCTTCACAGACTCATTTCCAGCCCAAAATCCCTATGGTGAAAATTAGCAGGTGTGAATGAATGTACAAGTCTGTATTTAGATTCTAACAGGCCGGTGGGTAAGTAGTGATAGCCCTTTTTAGGCCCTTGTAATGGAGCAGAAGTTTCCTACTAGCTGATATTTTATAGGTTTCTCTCATTTTTATTTTGATTTCAGAGAGAGGAAGGGAGAAGGGAAGATAGAAACATCAATGATGAAAGAGAATAATTGATCCTGCAGCCCCCTACTGGAGGTTAGCCCTCAACCCGCCATGTGCTCTGAGCAGGGATCAAACCATGTGACACTGAGCCACACCAACTGGGCTACTTTCCCTTTTTAAACATTCATTCTTAAGGTTGTTAAAATAGAGTTGTGTTTCAGGCAAGTGCTGGACTTCATCAAGAAAATTTTGTCTGGTTCTAAACTGTCATACATCTTCAGAGATGCCTTAACTCACTCTTTAGTGAAGAATTTTAAATAATTTATCTTGGGAAAGGAAAGAGAAAAGCAATGATTAATGCTTTCACCTTTTTGAGAGACAGTTCTCAGTAATAGAAAGCAAACATGGGCTGTTCCTGTAACAGACTGAGATATAGAAGTTGTAGTTTTAGCTGAGAGGGAAAAACTTGCTAACAGTGACTTTGTCCTGTGCCCCCTTTGACTGCTCCTCTTGCCGAAGATATTTCATTGGCATTGTTTGCCTTTGAGACATGTTTACCCAACTTCTAGATCTTCTGAAGGTAGGAATTGGGGACTACATAAGCTTAAAATTCCCTTTGCTTTAATGCAATTTCAAAATGCACTGTCTTTTTAAAGGTAAGTTTTGGTAAATGGTCATTCTTACTTGACCTCTAGATAGCAACCATGAATCCACTAGTATGAAATTCTGTCCTACCTCTTTAATGTGTGTAGTACTAACTCTTGTTCTGTGTATGATTGATTCTATGGTCTTTTTCTGTGGCATTTAAAATTTTGAATTTCCAGTATTGAAATTTTCTGCACTTTTTAATGTCATTGCTGACTTTTTAAATATTTTGTTTTCTAAGGGAAATATCAGTCGTCAAGAAGCTGTTAGTATGATTCCTCCATTGCTGCTTAATGCTCAACCTCACCATAAGGTATTTTGTATTATAAGGCCGCTCGCTGTCTGTGTTTGTGCCACTCTGTGGTTGAGACCTTTTTTCCTAATATAATGAAATTTTATGTTAAACTATTTTCTTCCTTAAAAATTATTTTTAAAATATTTTTTTTTATTGGTTTCAGAGAACAGAAGGGAGAGGGAGAAAAAAATAGAAATATTAATAAGAGAAAAACATTGATTTGCTGCCTCCTCTACACTCCCTACTGGGGATTGAGCTGTGACCTCCAGGTGCACAGGACAGTGCTCAATCCACTGAGCCCCACTGGCCAGGCAAAATTTTTTTCTTAATTTGTTTATTTACTATACAGATTATCTGCAGTGGTGTTGATTGACTAAATCAGATTAAAAGTCATATTGAAAATGTGTTGAGTGGTTGTTACATGCACTCTTTTCTTTGCCTGAATTAATTTTATTATCCACACATCCCTGTGGGGGTAGATGCTATGATTGTCCCCATTTTTACAGATAAGGAAAAGGAGATAAGGAAAAGTTGAAGTAATTGGCCCAAGGTCACAGCACTAGTTGCTGGCTGAGCTGAGATTTGAGACCAAATAGCTCTTTTTAGCAATATATTCTAGTGCTCCTTGCATTTAGTATGTTTACTCATTCATCCCTAAATGTATTGCATTTACTGGCTTGTAGTACTGTCTGTTCCCATCCCTTGAGAGAGTATTGTAACTATGACTTGAGGGCATTCTATGTTACGAGATCCCTATCAGTTAAATAGTTCACGTTGTAGATTCATTCTATAAGGAAATATTTTAGGTATTGGAATAGAAATAAAAATATTAGAATGACTTGTTTTAAATTAAATTTAGAATGTTTGATTTCTTAAAAGTCTCAAATATTTTCTTGCTTTTTAATAGATCTTAGATATGTGTGCAGCACCTGGATCAAAGACCACACAATTAATTGAAATGCTGCATGCTGACATGAATGTCCCCTTTCCAGGTATGCATTGGACTGGGGTTTGGAGGTAGCTATGCAACTTTGATGGGATGTAGACAGGGAAAAATTAGAACATTGCCTGAAGCCTCCCTGAAAGTAGAACTGGATTATGTTAACTGCTGTCTGACTTCCCAAGTTCAAATCCCATCACCATTTACGAGGTGAGTTAGGTGATATTACTACAGGCATCACGTATGAAATGAGCCATCAGTCCTGAACTTGGTGTGATACAAGATTACGATGGCAGTTATTACTGTAGTATCAGTGATGCTCCTTTATAGAGATTTTATAAAGATACAAAAATACTATGTATAGTCTTAGTTAGTCTTCTAATATTTTTATGTATCTTTATCTCTTACTTCGTTTAAGAGAGCAATATTGATTATAAAATGTTACTAGACATGTTTGCCTTTTTGCTGGAGATGAGAAAGGAGCCAAAGGGAGAGGAAGTGGCACCCGGGAAACATTCCACCAGGTACTTAGCCGTGGTACAACTCAGAGTCTTCCAGGGAACACCTTTTAAATGTTCTGGAGTGTGAGACCCCACCCCAAGAATCTGATCCAGAGACTAGAATGGTGCTCCAGCAACACAGTATTTAAAATACTTGTTAGGTGATTCTGTTGGTTTGTACACCTTTCTGTCTCATCTCATCCTCCTAATTTATTAATAGCTACTAAGAAAATACATTTTTGGCATAATAATTGGTACAAAGTGAATAATTAGTTGAACAAATGAATCTTGAAGATTTGAAATTTTAAGGGACCATGAGATCCATGCTGAGCACCTGGGTTTCTGTTTTTGGATCACTCCTATAGTCCTAGCCAATCTTTCACACTCGGGACTCAAGTTTCGTGGATCCTCACCTTTCACATGCCAGCCTACAGGTTATGTATTTCAGGAATTTACTTGTGTTGCATGTCACCCAACACTACAATTTTATATTCCCAGAGGGATTTGTCATTGCAAATGATGTGGACAACAAGCGCTGCTATCTGCTTGTTCATCAGGCCAAAAGGTTGAGCAGTCCCTGCATCATGGTGGTCAACCACGATGCGTCCAGCATACCAAGACTCATGATAGATGTGAATGGAAAGAAAGAGGTTCTCTTCTACGATCGAATCCTGTGTGACGTCCCATGCAGGTATTTATATTATCGGGACCAGAAAGCCCACGATCTATTAAGAAATCATATAAAGACTGAAATGAAACTGCACATGAACACACCATTGTCTGTATGATTCTTGTGGTAGCTGGTATGAAGAAAGACATCCTGACCTAAATTAGAAGACACACAGTTTTAGTAATACGGAGACTGAGCATGTGGAGCACAGTTAAGAAAGGGGTGGTTTTGGTAGTCTAAAAGAAGAGAGAAAATACTTGAGAGGAAAAGGGCATCATAAACTAATGCATTTCAGGATGTAGTCAATTGGAGTGATTTGTTCATCTGAGTGTATATGCTTGTACTTCAGTGAGTATGTAAAACAGTTATCAAATAAAAACACATTGCATTTTTACTTGTGACTTTTACATTGTTTAGCATAGTGAAATTGGGAGTTCAAACTTTTGATGAACTGATTTTACTGTATCTGTTCACATACTTTTCTTCACATTTTACATATAAACTTTAGGTTTTTAGAGTTTGCCTTTACTAAAGTTTTATGCCATAACTGAATGAGTTTTTCCAAAAAGAAATTAGTCAAACTAAAGATGGCTATTAAGTTCTCTGAGGCAGTGACATAGGCAATGATCACAAAAGTTTAATAGCTTTCAACACATGATTTTGTGAGCTAGAGTTCAAAAACTGCCACAAAACTTTGTTAGCACTAAGTAGTATTTAACTGATGCATCAGTATTAACTTCATTTTGTTTAAACAAGTGACAGATTTACTGCTAGTAACAGAACTGAGTTTGAAAATAATGCTGGTAGCACTGAATATGGCCTAGGTTTTTAAATACCTGGAAAATTTTCCCTTTAAAGTAAAATTTAAAATTGGTCATGAAATGAATTTTTTTCTAGATTGCAATTTTATAATTTTCCTCTGGATCAGATGTTTTCCTAAAACCTTGTTCATTTGATTGGGAGCCTAACTCATTTCTTATACCAATATTGTAAAAGTAAAGTGACCTTATGAGCACTAAGTTGTGAGCTGAAATAAATTCCTAAAATACAGATTTTTAACCCATTGCTGTTATACAAAAGCCATCATGTCTCAAGACGTTTTCATCCTGCAAACTTTGTACCTCAAGGACATGTGACTAGATCAGTGGTCGGCAAACTCATTAGTCAATAGAACCAAATATCAGCAGTACATAATTGAAATTTCTTTTGAGAGCCAAATTTTTTAAACTTAAACTTCTTCTAATGCCACTTCTTCAAAATAGACTTGCCCAGGCCTTGGTATTTTGTGGAAGAGCCACACTCAAGGGGCCAAAAAGCCGCATGTGGCTTATGAGCTGCAGTTTGCCGACCACAATACTAGACCATCAAGGAAAATGAAAATGACAGAAAAAGCAACAAATGCAGGAATTGCCTCAGAAAAACTGGGTAGATAAAAATAGACATGTTCAGAGAGATTATAAATCAAGTCTATTATAAAATTTACTAGCGGTCCAGTGCACAAAATTTCTGCACAGGGGTGTGTGTGTCCCTCAGCCCAGCCTGCACCTTCTCTAATCTGGGATCCCTCTCACAATCCAAGACTGCTGGCTCCCAACTGCTTGCCTGCCTGCCTTCCTGATTGCCCCTAACAGCTTCTGCCTGACAACCTGATCACCCCCTAGCAACTCCCCTGACAGCCTAATTGATGCCTAACTGCTCCTCTGCAGGTCTGGTCCCTCCCAGCTGCTCTCCCCTGCTGCCTGGTCCTCCCAACTGCCCCCTCCAATAATCACAAGGGTTTAATAGCTTTACCCCCCCTCTCCCCCTAGGCCTGGGTTTCCCTCAACTGCCCCCCCCCCCCCAGACTGTCTTCTCCTGCAGGCCTGGCTCCTCCCAATTGCCCTCCCCTGCTGGCCTGATCTCCCACAACTGCCTTCCCCTGCAGGCCATCTTGTGTGTTGGAGTGACAGTCAATTTGCATGTTACTCTTTTATTAGCTAGGATGCCTATTTTATAATTTAGCTTGAATGTGACATATTTGTTAAACTCTAATCATCTCCCTGTAGAAAGTTTTAAGTTCTTAAATATCTTTCCAGTGGAGATGGCACCATGAGAAAAAACATTGATGTCTGGAAAAAGTGGACCACCTTAAATAGCTTGCAGCTGCATGGGTAAGTAAAACTTTATAGCTGGCAGCATTGTTTGACAAATCAGTTGGTCAAAATTTATTGTTGCATCACCTAATTGGGCATCCAGATCTTTGACTCTATGTAAGCATCAGAGTGTTAATGATGTAACTTGCTCCGTGGGAATTTGCTTGTATATCAGAAATAGTTGCTTTTAAAATCTTTAAAAGTAGTAAACTGAAGATTACACATTTATTAAAAATGTATTTTATAAGAATTTCCTATAACATTTCAAATTTTTTTAAAATGAAATGACTATTTACTTATTGTCTTACCAGTTGTTTTCCTGTTCTTTTGTGTTTAATTATTTTGTTCAACATTTTTATCTCAGATATTTATTATCCCTAAAATTTTTTTGAAGAATTCTTAAAAAGAATCTCATATCTTAAAAATAACTTCTGTCATGTCTAGTGTATTACAGTTTTCTGTTCCTATGGATTTTTTAAGTTCCTGTTTCGAATAGTTTTTATTTTTTCTTCATTTACTATTAAAATTATACATTCTTAACTTAAATGTATAACAGTGGATGGTCTAAGTAGTTAAAGAATGTTCATCATTAATAACTTCAGCACCAGATTTTGTTTCTCTGCTAAATAAATAAAATTGTTTTGTGAAATAGGCATTAAAATTAGAATGTGCTGAAGGCTACAAATTGTTCATAGAAAAGAAAAATCAAATATTTGAATAACTATGAGGCTTTTTAATAGTGAAATTCATCTAATTTGTTGAATTCAGTCATTAATCACTTTATACTTTGCTTGTCAACATGCTGGGGAAATCCACAAACCAGTGTTTATATAAATAGGTGTTTTTTTTTATATTTACACTAGAGGCCTGATGCATGAAAATCATGCACTGATAGGGTTTCTAGGTTTGGCCTGTGATGAGGTCTGATATTCCCCAGCTGCTGGCCAGGGACTTCCTTTATTCCACGCTGCTCCCTGGTGGTCAAAGCACATCATAGCAAGCAATCAGTCCCCTGTTCAAACTTCCAGCCCCTCCTGCCACGGTCCATCTGCCAGCAGCCCCGCTCCCGTCGCAGCCTCTCCCACTTGCTGATGGTGTGGAGTAATTAGGGCTGGCATCAGCAGTAGATGCAAGTGGGGCCGACGCCATCAGCAGGTGCAAGTGGCAGCTGCTGCTCAGATCGCCTCTCAGGAGCAGGGGAAGGGGGAGAAGCCCTTGGGTGGTCAGGGCCTGCAGCCACTGCTCACACCTGCTGATGGCACTGATTGTTCAAATCTGGCGCCGGGCACCAGCAGCAGTGGTGCTCCAATGCCAGTTGTGGGTGCAAGCAGGGCCGGCGCTGGCAGTGGGTGTAAGCACTGGGTGGGACTGGCACGGGGGAACAAAGAATTATTAGTAACCACCTGAGGTTCGCCCGAGTGACAGAGACAGTGCCCCACCTTGGTCTAGCACTCCTGCTCATCTTCTCCACTATCCTGCAGTGGCCAGTGCCCACCATGTTCCACACATGCTCCCTGGTGGTCAGCGTACGTCATAGCAACCAGTTCACTTTGTTCTGCTGTTTGGTCTATTTGGATATTAGCCTTTTATTATATAGGATAGATGAAACATCTTTTGTAGGATTATTTTAAATTCATTAGAATATAAGCGTTTTTTAAAAATTGAAATTATTTATTTTAGAGTACTTTGTATTTTATTGTGAGTCTCTCATAAAAACTTAAAATGAATATGTGACATAAAGGGTGCCCATAAAGAATGCACTCTCCGGCTGTGTTTGGTCTCAGTGACTTAGTATATCCAACCCTTAGCTTACAACTGCGGATCGCTACACGGGGTGCTGAACAGCTAGTGGAAGGTGGCCGGATGGTATATTCTACGTGTTCACTGAATCCCATTGAAGATGAAGCAGTCATAGCATCTTTACTAGAAAAAAGTGAAGGTAAGCACGCTGTATTAATAAAAGTATAGACTTTTCACTACTATTGCTATAATGCAGTGATTTTCAGCCTGTGTGCTGCAGAATTTTTGTAATTACGTGTACCATGAGATGAAAAAGGTTGAAAATTGCTGCTATTCTGTATACTTTTATAGATCTTTTTCTGGGGCATTTGTTTATATTATTAACCTATAAACCCTAAAATGAGATAGCTCTAATGGGAAACAAATGAGATAGCTCTAATAGAAAACAAGCTTATATAATAGATCTGTTTTTCATGATTTACAAGCTTTGCCCTATTATCTGAGTGTGAATATTTGTGTCAGATCCTATCAGTGTAATTGTGGTAAAACATACATAAACTTAATACTTATCCTTTTAACTATATTTAAGTATACAGATCAGTAGTGTTAAGTACATTCACGTTGTTGTGTAGCCAGTCTCCAGAGTTCTTCCTCTTGTAAAACTGAAGTTCTGAACTCATTAAACAACTCCCCATTATCCTCTCCCCATTGTTGTAGTATCTGTCTCTGAGTTGGAACAGACCAGGTATCTCATGAGTGGAATCATACAGTATTTGTTTTTTTGTGACTTGCCTACTTAGCATACTCCCCTCAAGGTTTATCTGTGTTGTAGCATATGTCAATTTCCTTCCTTTTTCAGGCTGAATGATATTCCATTGTATGTATACCATCCATGGACACTTGGGTTGCTTCCTCATTATATTATGGTGGATAATAACTTTGAGGCTCTGCTTTTAGTTTTTTGAGGTGTAATAGCCTGAAGAGGAATTGTTGGGTGATGTGATAATTCTGTTTTAGGACCTATCCCATGCTGTTTTCCATAGTAACTGCACCATTTTGTAAGTCCACCAGCAGTGCACAGGGTTCTTATCATATTCTTCTTAAAGCAAATAATGAGAAATTTGAAATAGAATGAAATTGCAAATTTCATTCCAGAATAGATTCTATCAAATTTACTACATGCATTTTTGTGAAGTTAAGACAAGAGTGCATTTCCTGTGGTGGTATCTACAACAGGCTGTGGACTTCTAGGTTTTCACTGGCTGGTTAATCTATGTGTAAGTCAGTGTTCACTCTTGTCTTTCAGCCTACATTTACTGTGTTTGTTTTCTTTTTGCTGTACTTATATCGGTCTACAGAAAGATGTGATAGCTGAGTGATTTTTTTTACATGGTCATAATCTCCACAGTTATCTGAGAAGGTATATGAAGAGAAAGACTGTGGGTGATGTAATTTTATAGAAAACTAGAGGCCTGGTGCACAAGTGGGGTCCCTTGGCCTGGCCTGAGGGGATGGGACCAAAACCAGCTCTCTGACATCCCCTTGACAGGTCCCTGATTGCGAGAAGGCGGTTCTCATGTGACACACCCTAGAATTGAGCTCCTTCCTCTTAAGTCACCACAGCTTGGCAGCTCCTGCATTGAGTGTCTGCCCACTGGTGGTCAATACATGTTATAGCTACTAGTTGAATGATTGGCTAGTCGCTTAGGCTTTTATCCTATCTAATAAAGAGGGAATATGTTAATTGACTGTCACACCCTCACAAAGATGGCAGCGCCCAGTCCCCTCAGCTCCCCAGCTGCCCAGGGCCAGCCAAGGCTTGTGCTGCCGGCAGTGGCAGCAGCAGAGGTGTGATGGCGGTATTGCCTTCCACTGATCATTAGGTCACCTCCCACCCCTGAGGGCTCCCGGACTGTGAGAAAGGGGCTGGCTAGTCTGAGGGACCCTTCTCCAGTGGATGAATTTTAGTGCACCCGGCCTCTAGTATATATAGAATAAATTAACTGGGCATAGGCAGGTGGGTTTCCAGCCTAGATCTTGCTCTCACAGCCACCATGAAACATGTGGTTGTCTCAGGCTTGTAGATTCTTTCTCAGTCCTTGGTGACAGGCATCCTGTGTAGACATGGCTTCATGGTAGCACAGACCTTTGCTAAGCTTTGCACTTGGCAGTTGCTGTGACAGGACAGGGTGTGATCCCCACCTGAAAAGTACTCAAGAGACTTAGCTAGAGGAAGGGCAGCCCACAAAACATTCAGTCTACAAAACTGAGCCAGCAATGGCAGCTTCTGACCCAAATACTGGCAGGCAGGCAGGCAGGCATACTGAGCAATAGACAGTGTTTGAAGAAACCAGTTTCTGGGAACCTCCACTGTTAGTGTTCATTTTTTAAAGTAAGTTTCTTCATATATACTAGTGGAAGTCAATACAATGTTTTGGTCAAAGGTGTCTCACTACTAGATGCTTGTTGGGTATTCTCTTGCTTTGTTGTCTATAATTATTGTCTGAATTTTCATAGCTTATGTAGGGCTTTGTTGGTGTTTCCTCTTCTGTGAAGCTGTCAAATCAATGTCTGTGGCCTGTGAGTGGTAGTTCACGTGAAAGGTTTCCTGCCCCATTCACAGCTTCTGGTAATACTGCTACTGTGGACGTATGTTTTTAAAACTAGGCTGTTTTCTTAATGGGCAGTTTTAGAAAAATTATTTTGGACCTAAAACTGAGATTTAAAAATTGCCACAGTTCACTTTAAAATTTTACTTTTTTGGTTCTGGGATGTTTGTTAGCCATAAAGGCATGAAGGTGATCCACAACATCTGACTGCCAATTCTGAACACCGGAGGGTTCCCTTAGCTGAGTTCTAGCCTGGTGATGTCTTTAACTTGATTTTGGTCATGGAATCAGTCAGCCTTGGATGCATCCTGGGACTCTGCAGCTCTTCCCTGGTCCAAGAGCTTTATTGAGCTCCAATGGACATACCATAACACTCACTGGTTTCAGCTGTACAATTCTATGATCTTTATTAAATTTACTAAATTGTTGCAGAGCCCTCACGACAGTCCGATTTTACTAGTCTATTCCCATCACCCCAAGCAGAGCCCTCCTGCTCATTTGCAGTCACTCTCTGTTCCCATTAAGAACCACGAATGTATGTTCTGTTTATACAATTTTGCCCCACCCAGACATCTAAATATAGAATCATGCAGTATGTGATCTGCATCTCATTCACTGGGCATCATGTGGAAAAATTTATTTTATTTTATTTTTTTATATGTAGGTGCTTTGGAGCTTGCTGATGTGTCTTCTGAATTGCCAGGACTGAAATGGATGCCTGGACTCACACAATGGAAGGTAATCTTTCTGTGAGGACCCTGCTCAACAGAGTAGGTACAACCCACCCAGCCTTCATAGTCCTGAAAGTTCTAAACATCCATATTTGGGTAACTTGAATAATAGCTTTGGTTATGCTTTTTAGAATCAATTTCAAGATTATACATACATAAATAGTATGATTATACAAATACTTTTCTCTGGCCATGGAAGAGTTTTCCTGCTTCATTTTCCTAATTGGACATCAGCTATGTTTATTTTTATCTCTATACATACAGCTTTGCTTTATTTTATTGGCTGAGATTTAAGCTTCATTTGTAATATACAAGAATACATTTTTCAATATGAGGCTTATGTTTTTTCTTTTTTAAATTCCACATGGAAAATGCTTTATAAAATAATTGTCCTGTTAGCGGAATAAACAGTTATTTCCTTTTTTTTTTTTTTTTTCATCTTCCCCTGAAGATAGTATATTTATTCCATTGATTTTTAGAGAGAGTAGAAGGCAGGGTGAAATACGAAAAGACACATTGATATGAGACACAATGATTGGTTGTCTGTTGCACGCACACTTGGAGGTGAGGATCAAACCTGCATCCCAGGTACTTGCCCTTAATTAGAAATTGAACCCAGACCCTTCAGTGTGCAGGTTGACAATTCTGACTACTGAGAAAAACAGGCCTGGGCTATTTATCTCAATTTTATCTTTGCAAATAGTCTTCCTAGCTTTAGAGAGAAATGAAAGTCACCATTTATCATTTTTGAGAATATGTATACTGGCCCCTTTTTATTAGGTAGTGCTGGTGATTTAGAATCTTCCCCTCTCGTTTTGTAGGTAATGACGAAAGATGGGCAGTGGTTTGCGGAATGGGAGGAGGTTCCTCACAGCAGACATACCCAGATTCGGCCAACCATGTTCCCACCAAAGGACCCAGAGAAGTTGCAGGCGATGCATCTAGAGCGGTGGTGAGTTTTGGGGCTCTCAGAGTTTGGGGATAATGGGGAGGTTCCTGCCAGGCCTGGGCTGTGCCTCTGGCTGGCCTCAGATATGTAAACTTTTCAACACGTGAGAATTCCATACCTGTTAGCTGCTGGCATTGAGCCTTTTTGAATAATGAAGGTAGTTAGAACCTAATAGTAATACATTAGATATTGCATTAATTTTTTTGCATATTACGTATTGGCCATTCCTTGAATGAGGGCTGTGTGAATATTAACAAGACATCACTTCTCTATCACAGGTCATCTTTGTAGTACTTGTCTTAATATTTAATACTAAAAGATGTATTTTGGATCAATTAAAAAGTAAAAATTGTGTTTTGTTTTGTTTTGTTTAGTCTTAGAATATTACCACATCATCAAAATACTGGAGGGTTCTTTGTGGCAGTATTAGTGAAAAAGTCTTCAATGCCATGGAATAAACGTCCACCAAAGGTAAACGTCTTCCAAAATACCACAGCATACCATGTGATCTCTTTGTGCATTCAAGGCAGGAGCTGACAGAGGTCAGTTGGAACGTGTTTTGGGGACTGGGCCTGATGGTGTGTGGAGGGATTCACTTAAATGTTCAGTTTTCCAAACAAAAAGCAATTTCTTATAAGGTATATGTAAGTGGAAAGGCAGTCTGGAAAATTCATTTCTTCACCTTTAATTTTTTTAAAAGATTCTTTCATTGATTTTTTTTAAAAACATTTTATTTTTTACTTTTTATTGATTTCAGAGAGGAAGGGAGTGGAAGAGAGAGAGAGATAGAAACATCAATGACGAGAAAGAATCATTATCAGCCGCCTCTTGCACGCCCCTGACTGGGGACCGAGCCCACAACCCAGGCATGTGCCCTTGACTGGAATCGAACCTGGGACCCTTCTCAGGCCAATGCTCTATCCACTGAGTCAAACTGTCCAGGGCTTGATTTTTTTTTTAAAGGAAGAGAGAGAAAGAAGTCTCTTCTGCATGTCCCCCCCCAATGGGGATTGAGCCTGCAACCCAGGAATGTGCCCAAAATAGAAATCAAATCAGCAGACCTTTCAGTGCACGGGACGCCGCTCAACCATCTGAGCCACACTGGCCAGGGCTTAAATCTATTTAATAAAAATTGAAAACATGTAAAGACTTCTCTGTGGCTCAGAATCAGAGTATCCCCCACCCTACCCTCAAACTGGCTCTGAACTAGAATTCCCTGTAGGTTTGTTCCATTTAGCCCATTTCAGTTTGATGGAGCTCTTTTAATCTCAAGCCTGTCTTCACCTTGGCTGTGAATAATTACAGTTTGTTCAGGCCTAGCTAAAAAGGAATGGATTGGCCCTGACCTATTGCAATGGATCTAAACTGCCTCCTGGGTCATTGTAAGGGCAACTGTGAAGCGGAACGGCTGAGAAAGAGCTGCCTTTCGAGACTTGACACAAAGTTGTGATTTAACATGTACTCTCCTCATCAGCTTGGCATTATTTTGTTAGTTTGTATGTCAGCCTTCATAGAACTTAGCCTAGAGTCGCAGCCTGAAGGTCTGCATTTCTTTCAGATCCATGCTTAAAAATTAGGACAAATAATGCTTAGACTCTGGAGAAATAGTAAGTAAACAGTTTTCTGGGATATGGCTAATCCAGATTAATATAGGAGTATACAGCCTCAAACTGGCCCAGGATTGGAACTGGTACTTTTGGGTAGTCACCATGGCATTGGTATTAGGCTAGAGAGCATTTCCCTTAGAGAGTGAAGGTCTCTGTGTGGTGGTCTTGACTCTTAATTGATCCCTAACACCCTGGTTGGGAGGAGAGCTGGCCAATCAAAGCACTGCTAACAGAAATGGAGCCCCAGCCACATGTGTGGTTTCGGTTTTCTTGCAGCCTCTTTTCCCAAGAAAAATGAAAAAAATAATTTTTTTTTGTTTATTCCGGTATATTTAAAATGTTATTTCCATATAATCAAAGTAAGTTATTAATGAGGTATTTTATATGCTTTTATACCAAGTTTCTAAAAATAGTATAGATATTATGCTCTAAGATGCATCTTAACACTAGTCACCTCTGCAGGGGTCAGACAACTGTACCACACATAGGTTGAAGATCGGTTCACATAAGTGTACTTTAGATTCACTTGAATTTGGGGCTATGTTGACATTTTGCTTTATGATCACCTATGTAAATGGGTTTTGAACTTTTTGTTAAGTCTGTCTCTACTGTGGCATCACACTTTTTAGAACAACTTTCTTTCACATTAGTTTCTTATTTTGTTTGTCTATAAATATATTTTGGTTGTCTGTGCTTTTTGGGCCTTTCTGAGGTTCTTCGTATTCATGATTCTGGCATCTAGTTGAAGTGAAAACATGTGGACACTAATCCAGAGTTTGCATCAGGGAAAGCCGTACTTGCATAGTGCTGCTGGTGTTCCTGGGAGGGTGAGATTAGATCACTGGGATGGAGCAGAGAAAGCTTTGTGGAGAAAAGGGCATTTGATATGGACTCTGAAAAAGAGGCAGCATTTCAGGAAGCGAAGATGGATGTGGGCCACTGCTGGCCTTGCCAAGCAGTTTTAGGTGGTGGTTTTGTTTTTTGCCTTTTTCTACATTTAAATAAACTATTCTCTGGGAGGCAGTGTTGTATAATGTTAATAGCTTTAGAATCAGCTAGTTCACTTTACAACTTTGTGAACTGGGGAACTTTTCTGTGCTTAGGTATCGAATTTGTAAGTTCACTTCATAGGGACTGGGAATTACTACTTTTACCAATCTTGGGACTTATTAGAAAGGACAGGTCGTTTTAAATAATTTTTCATTTAAGACTTTATATAAAAAGTATCTGAGCATTTAACATAAGTAAAACATTTTGCTCCTTCTCAAAACCACATTTATACCTTTGCCCTGTTCAGTTATTATTCAACAGGTATTTCCTTGTCTCTCAACAGGTACATTCTTCTGATTTTCGAAGTTTCTCCAGATGCTCTGGAACAGTATCACTATCCTTTCCTACGTTGTGATTATTCCTATACTTGTCTTTTCCGCCCTATAATTTAGGGGTTATGTTGACTCCTTTGCCTCTCTCAGTGTGCCTAATACAGAGTGGATGCCGGCAGCATTTTAAATGAAGACAAGCTGGCATTACCTGCCAGCTGTTATGCTTTTTATGGGATTATGGAAAAGTGATTTTAACCTAATAGAAACAATGTCCATGAGTTCTGTTTATAACGGCAAGATGTTATATTTACAAATAACAGCAAGATGTTATATTTTCTATAAAATGTTATAGGAAAATAGTTGAGATTGATTTTGTAAGTTCCATTTTATTAACTTTTTATAGCAGTGCAAAGTGGATCTATTTAGATTTACTATTCCCTCTGACAGCTGCAGGGGGAGTCTGCGAAGCCAAGAGACCCTGTGCAGTCCAGCCCTGCAGTTCCCACGGGAGAGAAAGCTGAGGGCCCCTCAGAGCTGGAAAGGAAACTGGACACTGGAATTGGTGATGCAGAAATAATAGAAAGGACTGAGGATTTAGAGAATAATGGAAATAAGAAAGATGGCGTGTGTGGGTAAGAAACGTGGTCTGTCTTGAGTCTTAACATTCTAGTGCCTTCCCAGCTGTGTGGATTGACTGGTATCTCAGAATCTTTCGTATAGTGGTTTTTCAGCAGGCAGTGTGAACACATTTTGGCTGGCAAAGTACTCAGTTCAGTGTTAAGGAACTTTTGGTGTGGAACTTGTGACTGGGGGGAGAGATTTAAGACCTGAGGAAGCATGTGTATAAAGCCCCATGATGCACAGAGCTGGGGGTAAGGGTTGAGGGCAGGGAAGAGTGTGCTATTTCCGATTTCAGATGACTGATTTCATCCCAATTCCTTTAGTCCCCCTCCATCGAAGAAAATGAAGTTATTTGGATTTAAAGAAGATCCATTTGTGTTTATTCCTGAAGATGACCCATTATTTCCACCAATCCAGTAAGGATTAATTCAGTCTTTTTTAATTCTTTAAATAAATTCACTGTGGGGTTATAAATATATAATTGGTAACATTTATCCATAGTTTTATTTTTATCTAGCTCTGTATAACTGTATTTTTACTTTTTAATTGCATGTTACAGCTGGGTGAAACTTTAGGGTGTGTTTACTGAACCCTTCAATTTAAAGTGAGCAGTAATCAGAGAAAATATACTGCCCAAAGCTAAAGACAGTGGAGATAGGGAAGAACTCAACTCAGATCCTGAATGTAAATTACTCAGTTGAATTATGAAATCAGTGGGCAAGGCTGCCTTAATCAGTTCCAATTTAGGAGATGAGCAATAGTGGGGCTGGGTAGGGCCTTGATTGGGAATCTCCAGGCAGAATAGAGAGAATATATGCTAAGGATAATAGTCTCAACTTCTCCCTTATTCATTAAGTTTTTGTATATATTTACCGGAATGGTCACTTACGTTGTCTTGTCGGGGGGAATGGGGTGTGCTTAAAGACAGTCTATTAAATTTTGAATTACATTCATAAGCACCTCTGCTTTATTTGTAGGAAATTTTATGCTTTAGATCCTTCATTCCCAAGGATGAATTTGTTAACTCGAACTACAGAAGGGAAGAAGAGACAACTCTACATGGTTTCCAAAGAACTGAGAAACGTGCTGCTGAACAATAGTGAGAGGATGAAGGTACAGGTCACAAATGGGGACTGATGCATAATTGAGGACTCCTTCTCAGGTTTCCTTGGGAGGAGCAGATTCTGGCACTGCCTCTCCCAAGTCCAGTATGTGTAGCCTGCGTCCCTTCTGTCCCACTGTCCCTCTCAATGTATCATGGGAGGTAGGTGTCATGGGTTTGGAGGGTCTGGCTGCTGCTGCTGTGGTATAATGTTGTCATTTCTATTTTCTCTAGAGTGTTTCTACTTTTAGTTCCCTGTTTCCATTTGCTTTACTGTTTTCCTAACTTATTTTTCCCTTTGCCTATGTACTTAATGCATTATATCTCCAAGTGTTGTCTGGAGATCCATGAGGTCAAAGTAGTTTCATAACATTGACTGGGACTTGGTGTTCACAGGGGCTTTCAGGGGGACAGGATCCTTGCTCCTTCATTCTATGTGCTGACATAGTCTTGCATTTTCAAAGTTTCCTGGTCTTCCAAGGATCTTCATTTCTCTTTTCCTTCTTTCATTGGTACTTACAATTCTGCCTTCTCAAGGTAGAAGGGATTATTTTAATTGATTATCCTGACTTTTATTTATGTGTGTTTCATCATATTTTTTAACTTATAGGTTATTAATACCGGGATAAAAGTCTGGTGTCGAAATAGCAGTGGAGAAGAGTTTGATTGTGCTTTCCGGTTAGCACAGGAGGTAATTTGGGGAACAGATTTGGACAGCACCAGCCACAAATAAATGGGAAGCAGTTGGGCACAAATAGGAGCTTCTGAGCCAACCTGACAGGTCTGGATAGCTCAGAGCTGGGCTGGCACTACCAGCCATTTGAGTCTCACTGTTGCACTCTCTGAGGCTGGGTTTCCTGCTCTGGGAGACTTTGCTTACAGATTATTACAGGTTCCGGGCAGAGGGTGCTGCTGCACTTGCCCAGGGCTATAGGGAGGTGAGGCCTGGACATGGTCCTTGGGAAGGCCCTGAGGACAGTGGGTGCTCACTTTACCAGGTGATTGTTTCCATTCATAAAGTGACCTCTCTTTGTTCCCACAGGGAATCTATACATTGTATCCATTTATTAATTCAAGAATTATCACTGTATCATTGGAAGATGTTAAAATTCTATTAACCCAGGAAAATCCATTTCTTAGAAAACTTAGCAGTGAGGCATACATCCAAGCCAAGGACCTGGGTAAGCATTTTAACTTGTGTGGAGGCCTCACTAGTCCTTATAAAGACAGTACAGGGTGTTTCCTCTTGTTGAATCTTAGTCTTATATTCAGTACATTGTGACTGTCTTTTACTGACTGTTGGTTTCCAGAGGGTTTTATGGAAACATAATTGGTCTCAGTGTATTTACAGTCAAGAGCACCTTAGGGCTGTTCTCCTTCCTCAGACTCTGGGAGACCCTGCATCTCCTAGCTGCCATTGATGGTGTGCAGTTATTAGGGCCTGGCCAGCCCACCAGCTGGAGTTCCATGTCATTGCCCACCAGGAAAGGTACTCATGTGGCAGCAAAGAATGCATTTTTATCAATCCTGTTAAAGCAGAATATGCAATCTTGCTATGGCGTTGCTAGTCAGCCAAAATAGATTCTCACCCAAAACAGATTTTTGTAATACTGTTGATTTTATATTTCAGAAACCTCCAGTTAGGTCACTTGAGTGATATTTTACTTAAGAATAGAAATAATTCTACTCTTACTAATTTTTAGTTGAATTTATTGGGGTGAAATTGGTTAATAAAATTATGTAGGTTTCAGGTATACAATTCTATACATCTGTGTATTGTGTGTTCATCACCCCCAAGTCAAGGCTCCTTCCATCACCATTTCTTGGCCCCTTGACCCTCTTCTACCTCCCCCTACTCCCCTTCCCTGTGGTAATCACCGAACTGTTGTCTATGAGTTGTTTTTGGGTGGGGTGAGGGGGTTCTAATCCCTTCACCTTCACTCTTACTAACTTTTATGTGTTCAATATTTCTGGATCAATTTGTTGAAAACTTGAACAAATGGGTTATTGAGGTCATATAATAGTTTGTTTTACATTTAAGACTGGAGTCCTAGAGAACATAGCACATGCTGTGTTGAGTCCAAATCCTCTTATCTCCTCAGGCATAACCTCAATTTACAGTAGAGATTATTTTAAAGGATAAAGGAGCCATTTGTACTTTTTTAATCCTATAGATGATTAAAGTATAATTTTTGATAATTTTTGTGTTTCATGCTGTTTCTGGGAGTTGGAGCTTTTATCTAACCTTGAACTTTGAGAATTAACCAGTAGTTAGTCCCACCTCCCTGTGTCTGAGACTTTCTAAGTAGCTTCACCTAAATCCCGATAGTCTGTCTTGGTCCTCTCCCACATTGTCCTGAACCATGTTGTTCTGATGGCCCTACTTGGTGCTTAGTTGGCCGATGCCTTCATGTTTTTAGAAGAAAAGTCCGTTCTTCATTGAGATCCGGGAGACCCCAAAGTGTAGATTATTTCTTGTTCTCTTTCCATATAAACAGAGGTGTCCACTTGTAGGAAGCTTGGCCAATGCTTGTCTATTTCTCTTCCAGTCAAGGGGAGCGTCGTCTTGAAGTACGAGCCTGATCCTACGTAAGTGGGGATATTCTTGCCCTTGGGCTTTGGTGTTATGGTTGGAGAGTTGTGGTTGTGCTTAGAAAGAAGCCTTTTATGATTGTTCCTTAAAACAATATAGGGAAAATTTAGACCTGAACTACTACATTCTTGTATATCATCATGAAAATATTTTCTATATAATGTTCAGCTCAGGCCAAACATTTTTATTTATATAAAATAATAATAAAATATAATAAAATGCATAGTATGTGTTCTGTGTGTTTTAGAAACCTAATCCTAATTTCTGTCTTAAACAGAATAAATGGAAAGATTGAACAGTTAAAAGAGATTATGTTCTGCCATCTCTTCCATTGCTTCAGTGCCTGGGTTACCTGTTAAGCATCAGTGCTGTTCTAGGGTGGGGCATGGGGGTTCCCCAGTGGCTCACAGGAGACCAACCCTGCTTTTGTGTAACCACTGGCACTTGACAGAAATGCTTAGTGGAGTAGGTTCCAAATTGTCAGCACTTTCCAGGAACGGGACAGAGAGCCAAAGCACCCCACCTAGTGAAGGAAAAACTGGCCAATTTAGTGTTCGATGATATTCAGGGTAGGAGGGAGGAAGCTGATCTTTGAGAAAATCCATAGAATTATAGACTGAAATGCCTTCCCAGTGGTTTAGTGGTATAATTTTTTGGAGAGACTGCGTATTAAACCTCTGGAGGCAATGATGAAAGACTTAATACTTACATAAAGCCACTTTGTTTATAGGAAACCAGATACCCTGCAGTGTCCCATTGTGTTGTGTGGATGGCGGGGAAAGACATCAATTCGAACTTTTGTGCCCAAGAATGAAAGGCTGCATTATCTCAGGATGATGGGGCTGGAGGTGTTGGCAGAAAAGAGAAAAGAGGGGACTGCTCTGACGGACGAGAGTGCAGCCAGCTCTGGACCTCTTGAAGATGAGGAGGTGAGTGCCGACCAGAAAACAGAACAGACTGCCAGTCCAGACGCCACCAGCACAGGCAGTGACTCAGTCGGGGGGGCCACTGTGCCCCGGTGAGGAGACCACGGGGCCTCCACCTTGGTGTCTACAACCAAATCCAGAACTTTGGACCTGCAAAGTACATATTTTTAAAGACTGGAAACTGACGGAATGATGAAATCATCTATGAATGATCTCAGTACTGCTTTCATAAGGAGTTTACTAAAAAATATTTTTTTTAGTTTGTTAGAAGTTGCTCATTTTACTTTGTTCTTTGGCAAACTGGGTCCAGTTTACCTGTTGCAGGTAGTAGAGTTTCACAGTCAAGTCTTAATTTCCATCGAGAAACATAACTGCTCTTACAGAAATTTTCAGGTCCCCTTTGTTGTGACTATATTGCTCTTAAGTCCAGTATTTCTTTTAATTATTTATAGAAAGAGTCTATATCTCCTATGAGTTGATGGAAAACTTCATTATGAGCTTTATAATAATTATATTAAGTTGCACCGTAGCAGTGCAACATTAACATGCAGTGAGGTAAATATCTGAGGTCTCAGATAACTTCTGTGCCTTTGTAATAAAGGGTAAAATAAACTTTGTTCGAGTAAAAGCTGTATCGTGAATTGTGATACTTATGTGCTTTTGTTGATGGAGTGCTTTGCACTTTTAATTTTTAAATGGTGTTTGGGATCCCTGGAACATTTAAATAAAGAGTTAATGATAAACGTGTACGTGTGTATGGCTTGTTTTAACCTTCATGAGGCAGAAGGAAGAAACTTGAAGGGCTTCCCTGTGGTTTGTCTTTTATCCTCCAGAGGGCAGTATTAGTGCTGCAGCTACAGTGAGACAGATCTGGGTCGATCAAGGTTCACTTACTGGTAGCAATTTGAGAAATTTGCCCAGAACTCGGGCTCTGTGGTTAGAGAGCCTGTAGGCGATATTATTCAGGCTGCACGACTATTTCAGTTTAATACTTATTACATTCCTTCTGTGTATCAGGCAGAGTTCTGGGGGCTGGGACACGGCTGATCATGACAGACAGTTTCAAATTTTCAAAAAAAAAAAAAAAAAAGAGTAGTATGTGAAACTTCATGTTCCTTTCACCTAGCTGTCACACTTATTAACACAATCTTGTTTCATTAATACCTCTCCTTATTTCCCCATCCCACCTACTTGTACTATTTTAGAGTAAATTGCAATAGAAAGTGACCTTTAAAAAAAAATAACCTCACTGCCTGGCCAGCAGGGGCTCAGTGGTTGAGCATGAACCAGGAGGTCAGGGTTTGATTCCCGGTCACAGCACATGCCTGGGTTTCAGGTTTGATCCCCAGTATGGGTTGTGCTGGAGGCAGCCTATCAATGATTCTCTCTCTCATCATTAATGTTTCTATTCCCCTCTCCCTCTCTGAAATCAATAAAAATACATGAAAAAAATAAAAACAACCTCACTAACTTTACACCTAAAATAATAACAACTTTTTAAATAGCTTACATGAATTGTCTATATACTAAAAATATCAGACATGGAAGAGATACATTGAAGACAAATATATGGGAAGATATTCCGTACTCATAGATTGGAAGAATTAATATTGTTAAAATGCTACCCAATATGATCTACAGATTTAATGCAATACCTATAAACAGTTGTTTACACAGAAATAGAAAATACATTTTTAAATTTTGAAACCCCAGACTCATAATAGCCAAAGTAATCTTGAAAAAAAGTAGAGCTAGAGGCATCATATTTCCTGATTTCAAACTATATTCCTTTGGGAAAGCTATTGTAAATCAGTATGCTATTGACATCAAAACAGAAGCCAAGAATATACAATGGGAAAAGCCTTCTCAATTATGCTCGGAAAACTGGATAGCCACATGCAGAAGAATGAAACAATCTTTTACACCATACATAAAAAACTCAAAATGGCCAAGACTTTGGTGTAAGACAAAACGAATATTATTGTGACCCAGCCAATAATATGTATGAAAAGTTTTAATAAAAATTTTGTAATTTAATTTTTACAATATCCTATTATACATTATTAATAACGAACTACAACATTCGCTAATAACTGATTACTATAATCGTATTGCAGTCATTTCCCTTATGCGCCTATGCACAGGTGCCATTTCTCCACTAATACTAGCAGTGAATATTTTAGCAACTGATTGCCACGTCATTATCTTAGACTAACTTGTTTAGTGTGCGCAACAGGAAATACTTCATTTTCAGAGGATAAGAAAGGTTTATTTGCGTTAATGCTTATTAATTTGTGTAGTTATTTAGTGTGTTATGTTCAAGAAAAATTAATTTTTATTAAAATGCTATTATTTTACGTTAATAATTACTCATTTCAGCCCTTTGTATTCAGCATGTCTCTACTGAAATAAACCTAAATTTCTACGAAAATTGAAGCTTTTGTTTTTTTGCAGCCCATATAAATTTAAACCTTGTTTATTTGGCCCTTGTTAGCCTTTGAGTTTGACATGGTTGGTGTAAGACCTGACTGATATCAAAACTAGAGTTCAGACATTTGTGTATGTGCTTGGCTGAGGAGCCACTGGGCAAAACTACCACCTGTGGGATTGAGTTAACACCTCTAAGTCCAGTGCCTCAGTGCCTCGATTGGCCTCAGATAGCCGGGTCTGTCCTGGGAAATGGGATGGGGTTGGCTTAACAGGGATTGGCTAATGAAAAGTAGACAATGCTGAAGAAGGTAGGCATGACAGATGGAAATTATGACCCCCAGGGCTGCAATAGAGCACCCCAAACCCTGGGATGAGTTGGGTGAGTGTAAACACAACTCAGTGAATAGCAGAGATGTTACTGTGGGTGAGCGTGGACTGAACTTGCTGGAAATCCAGTCTGTAGGGTGCTTATGGAGAGGTATCTCAGCAGAGGCAACCCTCTACAAGAGCATCAAGGAGGCACGGGCTGGCCAGCATCAGGAAGCTGCATATAGTGGAGTAGCCCAAGGAATGGGCACTAGAACCAAGAAAAACCACACCTTCCTACGATGACTCTCGAGTGCCTTCTACCAATGAAGCTTAACATGGTGCCAGTTGGCAAAAGATAGTTCAAGAGCCCTGATCCATTTTGGCAGAGAGGGTAATGAGGAATGAATCTTGGCTCCCAGAATGGTTGGTGCAGCCAGACCTTGGTGTCGGGAGACTATAAATGGATAACTGACATGACTCATTTAATCCAAAATTCCAATTGAGGAGTGGGCAGTCATTACTACCCCTACTTAAAGATAAAAGAGTCCTCGCTGGTTTGTCTCAGTGGTTAGAGCATCAATCAGAAAATTGAAGGGTCTCAGGTTTGAGAGCACATAACCTTGGTTGCAGGTTTGATAGATCCTGGCCTGGTTGAGGTGCATGTGGGAGGCAACCAATTGGTATTTCTTAAATCAATGTTTCTCTCCCCTCCTCCCTAAAAATCAATGGAAAAGAGTATCCTCAAATTCTATATAATAAATAGGTAATACGCAAATTAACCCTCACGGTATCACAAGATGGCTGCCCACAACTAGGCCGGCAGGGGGGTTAGTGAGGGACAACCAAACAACTGAACAGCAGACTGTGGAGCGGCCAGATCGGCAGGAAGGCTATGAGGGGTGACCAGGCTAGCGGGGAGGGTGCATTTCGGGGAGACCAAATTGTCAGGAGGTGCAGTTGGGGGCAATTAGGCTAGCAGGGGATGGTGCAGTTGGGGGTGACCAGGCCAGCAGGGAGGGCAGTTAGGCCTGCAGGGAGGGTGCAGTTGGGGGCAACCAGGTCGGCAGGAGGTGCAGTTGGAGGCAATTAGGTTGGTGGGGAGGGGGCAGTTAGGAGCGACCAGGCCAGCAGGCAGGTGAGTGATTAGGAGCCAGCAGTTCAGGATTGTGAGAGGGATGTCCGAAGGCTGGTTTGGGCCCAATCCCTGGGATTGGGCCTAAACCAGCAGTAGAACACCTCCTGAGGGATCCTGATTGGAGAGGGTGCAAGCTGGGCTGAGAGCCCCCCTGTCCCCCGCATGAATTTTGTGCACCAGACCTCTAGTTAACTATAACAGCAACAAAGATAAGAAAAGCAAAGCAGCATTGAACAACTAACCAGACCTCATAGAGTATAATAAGTGACAAAGACAGGATTTCAATTTTATAAGGTCTTGACCAGCAGGAGCAGAGCCAAGAGTTCAGTGGCAAGGGGTCTCTGGCCCAGGACACCTCCCTCCAATGGACAGTTGTATTGCAACAGCTGCTTTTTAGTGATTTCATTTTCATGATTGCAGCAGCTTTTCAAAATTTCTGGAAATCTTTGAACTTCCAGAGGAACAAACGTGATATATGCATGTATGTTTTCTTCTTTTAAAATTAAGGCTTGAAGCTTTTTTGTCAAGTGTACACTTAGGAACTTTTCTCAATGGGAGGATAACAAGGAGGGCCTGTCTGGGTTGAGATGGATTGAATCCATGCATCTAATGTCACAGCCTCTCAATCCCTCGTTAAACGACAATAACGATGTTTTAACAACAGAGGGAAGGGGGTTACAGAAGCAAGGGTTCTTTGAAAGCTGTAAGGCAACGGGGCAGGTGGTAATCATATTATAGAACCAAGGGAGCAAAACCCTAAGCCAGTGGTGAGAACAGTGGAGAAGCACTCCATTGTGCTCCACAGAATTCCTAAAAGGCGGAGACCTGGTGAGTCAGGATTGATTGAGGTGGTTTGAGAAGCAGCTGGATCCTAAGTTTCCCTCATCTGAGCTCCCTTGACTGGGGGCGCTGAGCGTGGTGGAAGGCCTTGGTGCCACACAGGGTTAACTTGTCTCAGGTCAGGACTATCTACACCCTGCCCTTCTCTTGGCTCCCAGAATGTTTGGAAATCAGAGGAGTAACTGTGAAAGTCACTTCTCTGGGGAACTGTCCAGCTCCAGAGAAAAGCTCTAAGTAAAGTTAGTGGGTTTGCTCAGGGCTGGCCCTCGCTGGGTTTCTCTCCAGCCTCCCAAGGATAACGCTAGAGGGAGGAGGGCACTCCCTGTGAGCCTGGGGGGGGGTTTAGAAAGCTTACTTTCTCAGATGATGAGAATTTTTTGCA